TCTCATTGCCATCAAGGCGCGCCTTCTCTTCCGAGGAGATGCCTTTCTTGAAGACTTTTAGAAGATCAGAATCCTGCCCGATTCTAACATTGGCAACCCTTGATTGGTCAATCAGGGTTATGCCTTTGTTGTCATCTTCTATGCCGTTGGCATGATCCTCTCTTCTGGACAAAGTGTCTGCTTTCCCCATCAAAGTTCCAGGCTTATGAATTAATTTATAATTAAACCTAGACAAGTACACCGCATAGCGAGCCTGTCTTCGGTTCAAGTCTCAGGCCGTCATAAAATACTCCAGATTCTTATGATCGGTCCAAATTTCAAATTGGTGCCTAGCACCTTCTAAGTAGTGCTGCTAGTGCTCTAAAGCTCAAATGATGGCCAGCATCTCCTTATCGTAAATTTGATAATTGCGCTCTGTAGGCGACAAACTATGTGATAAATAGGCACAAGGCCTCCAAAGATTGTCAGGGCATTTAATTGATAAAACAGCCCCAGTAGCAAAATCAGAAAAGTCAGTTTCTAGCCGGAACTCTTTGTCTAATTCTGGAACTGCTAATATGGGCGCCGTTGTAAACACCTGTTTAAGCTTATCAAAAGCTTCTTGTTTTTTAGCGCCCCAATGCCAAATAATGTCCTTTTTGGTGAGATCATTCAACGGTCTTGTTTGTGAAGTTTTCAACAAATCTTCGGTAGAAATTGCCTAAGCCAAGGAAGGCCCTAAGTCCTTTGACGCAAGTAGGTTCTGGCCAATCCAATATAGCTTGAACTTTCTCAGGATCCATCCTGATTCCATTCTGGCCTATGATCATACCAAGGAAGTCTACTTCCTTCACTTTGAAATTACATTTTTTGGGTTTGATGAATAGGTCCCGTTCCTGTAAGCGTCGAAGGACTTCTTGCACGATCCTGTCATGCTCAGCCTCATTGTCCGACTTCGTGAATATTAATAAATTGTCAATGTAAATGACGACACAGTTCTCCATATCCGCAAAGATTTTGTTCGTCATGCTCTGAAAGGTTGCCGGTGAATTGGTCAACCCAAAAAACATAACGAGGGGCTTGAAAAATCCTCGGTGGCACGTGAATGCGGCCTTCCAAGCATCTTCTTCTTTGATGCACACATTATTGTACCCCCATCTAAGATCCATCTTTGTTAAGATCTTGGCACCAGCCAATTTGTCTACCAGCTGACTGATCAAAGGCAGTGGATATGCATTTTTAATTGTGTACTCATTCAAGTAACGGTAGTCCATAATCATACACTTTTTACCATCCTTTTTAGGAATGAAGAACACCAGGGACGTCATAGGGCTTTTGGGAGGTCTGATATAACCTTTCCTAAGCTGTTTATCTATGAAACTTGATATGCCAATGCTGACAAGACACAGTCTTGGGGCACTGGAGCACAATGAAAACAACACTCAAAAGAAGAGCAAGAGGTGGGAGTGGTTACCCATTTGGTAGGAACAAGTTAGTTGTTGGTAGACAATAGGAGGACTCGCTGAGTCCTTCCCCATGTATTACTCCTGTATATATACTAAAATACATGAGGTACTGTACAGTCGTAAATAAAGTTTAAAGTCTGATTTATCAGGAAAAATAGGTGTAGCTATATAGAGCTCTATAGCATTATAAGTGATCATAAAGCTGTTATAGTGGTCAAACCTGCTATAGAACTTCTGCCATCTATAGAGCCTTATATAGCTCTATAAATGCTCATATAGATGTTGGAAATTGTTTTGTGGTTGATAGATTTGAACCCTCAACCTGCTAGTTAGCTTTTGGGTGACTAAGCAACCTATAGCCACACATCACATTTATCCACTACACCATGAGAGCTTATAAAATGTATTATACAGGTATTATATATTGACCTTTCATGGACTTGGGTTATTTTTTTACTCATTGTCACCACTTATATTTGGATAAATCATTATTCTTATTTTTATAAATATCAAAGATACAAACTACTATTTTACTAATACAGGATACATAATTAATTAATACTGTATGATTTATTAGCCCTTTTAAGCACCTTGAACTATATTATAGCTATGACCTTTACAGCTATAGGAGCTATGTAAGCTGCTATAGGCTATAAGAGCACTTATAGTACCTTGCCTATAATAACATACTTGACTCCAAACACTTTTGGCCTCTTTCTATTATTGAACAAGTTTATTAGATTAATCCAGAATTTGAGGATGTTATGAATACTTCTCCCCTTGGTTAAATTTTTGCCTACTACTGTACTATAAGGGCTATAAGAGCTATGATTGCACTGATTGCACTATAGTTTCTATGAATGCATTTATATATATAGGTGGTGGCTATATAGTGCTACATAGCAAAAGGTTTTTCCTGATGTTCTAACTGGCCCAAAGGTCATTTGGCTAATGTTGAATGTTTTATTGTCCAAGGCCAACAGCTGAAGACAACCATATGATGTACTCTGTCACCAAACTTGGGCCTAATGCTTCTGGCTACCTACCTGGTGATTTTATACCCCTTTCTGCAATTAGACAGGTTTGTCATGTGATCCCAGTTTTGGGGGGAAATAGAGATACTTGTCCACTTAATTGGACTCACAGTAATGTTTTGGATGTTTGTACAAAATTTTATTTCAATAATTTTAGTAGTAAATATGCTTATCAGATATTATGGTAAATTCAAATTATAAATATTGTTGTTTTGTTTTTAGCTAGATCTTGTGCTATAAAGGCTATGATTGCATTGATAGGGCTATGATTGCTATGAAAGCATCCATATATACATACATATAGTGGCTATATAGTGCTACATAGCAAAAATGTTTTTCCTGATGAAAACTCTGACCTTCATAAGGTTTTGAGACATACCAGAGTTATTATCTGGGATGAAGCACCAATGCAACATTATCATGGCATTGAAGTGTTGGATTATACATTGTGGGATGTTTTGGATAGTCAGCTTCAATTTTTGGGACTTCCGCCAAATAACACCTGTTGTTCCAAGAGGGTCAAGCCTAAGAAGAGTTGATATAGCGGTTGGGGAGGGAAATGAATATAATCCTGTGGGGTTCTTGAACTCTTTGCAAGCATCTGGCCTTCCATCAGGAAAACCCCAGATAGCTCTCATAGCCCTTATAAATCTATAAGGGCTATGACAGCTGGTATAGCAGATATAGTTGGTGTAGACAAGTTCCTACTATATAGCTCTATATAGCTGGCTTGTAACTATACCAGCTCTGATAGCTGTGTATAGTACATATAGCTTTTATAGTTTCTATAGCAAGATTGTGGCTGATAGCAAAAAATCTGTCATCTGTGGGAATTGAACCCACAACCACATGTTGACTGCTTTTTTTTAGCTTACTAAGCATATGTATCCTAGAGCATTTATTCACTATGCTGTGTAGGCTTATAAAATATAACATATAACACAGTATATAACCACTTTTTGGTTAGTGAAATTTCTGATAAGTTGTTATTGTAACTTGAAGCTGCCTTATATTGATGGACTGTGAAATAAACAATTAGCTGATGAGGTACTTCCTATAGTACACCTATGCAATATTCTGGCAATTATTCTGATGATTATTTTGACTTTTTTTAAAGGTGCTTTTGTCAAATTGTTCTGGCTACTTTCACAATTGTTGGGAGACCATGAGAGTGATCATAGATAGAGTCCAGCTATATGGTGCTATAGGCAGCTATGAGAGAGACTATGGATGTGTTATCTGGTAATCAGAAAATTAGTGACATTTTTTATGTTGAACTCACTTATATACAATCCCTGAAGTATGCAACAGACAATTGATATTATATTATATTACTGACATATAGCTATTATAGCTCAAGATCAACTCTCATAGCTCATATAGCCTTACTACTATTACTGTAGGTTTGCACCAACTCTTAAAGGTAAGATAAAAATATTATAGCCCATGTAGTAGCCCATTGACTATATAGTAATATGTATTTTCCTGATGTCCTGAAGCACACCTCAAACTTAAAGCCGGATATCTGCTTATACTCCTCTGCAATATTGATCCCCTAAATGGACTCTGTAATAGAACACACATAATTTTGATAGAGATGAAAAGAAGAGTGTTGAAGTGCCCTGTTTTGGGAGGAAAGTGTGCAGGAATGATAACTATTATTCTATGCCTCACATTAGAACCTTTGTCAGAATAATTGCCCATCAAGCTATCACATCATCAAATCGCTGTCTGTGTTGCCTTTGCCATAACCATCAACTCAAGGGCAATTAGTGACAGGTTGGGCTGGATGTATGTGTTCTAGTGTTTTCACATGGGCAACATTATGTCGCACTGTCTCACTGCACTTCAGGAGATAGAATAAAAGTACTATTTCTGGATGGTTCAAATGACAGACATACTGTCAGTATGTCATATCCCAAAAATTTGACTGGCTTTATCCATGACTGGCAAGTAAATGTTTCCTAAATTCTTACCCTTTTTACTAATGTGTTTTGTTATCATATTATATTATCATCCTTTACCATTGCTGGAATCTCTTTTTTATTATTTCTTATCAGTTTATCAATGTAATACCACAGACTTTTTATGTTACATTATGTGTTGATGTTTGTAAAGATTCAAATAATCATCTGCTTGAATCCAGTATACTGTGCACAGGTTTAAGGCAGGCTTATAAGAACATTCAATGATTGAATTATAGTATAGTTCCATCAGATATTGGCAGTAATACAGATTGCCTGCGCCTGCAAAAGTGAACATCCAAAGCTGGCAATGAAGGCTGGTGAGTACTGTTCTATTAAAATCAGATTCTACCCACTAACCTTCAGAATTTCCCAGACTCAGCCTGTATCCCCCCCATTACCAATGACATATCTATATCATTTAGTATACCTTCAACACTTATGTTCTTTCTGTCCTGCAGCTGCTAATATTGTATAAGCTCATCAACATTGAAGGCTTCTACATCAAAATCTTCATCTTCAAGTTCAACGGCAGTGCCAGCAAAGCCCTTCACCATATGGCTTTTGCATCCAATACAATGGTCCCTGGTTTTTGTGTATGCTTGGATGTTGTCTCCAACAACACTGAAATACCTACCAGAACCATGGTGAGTTGCCCTTTGTAGCTCTTCCATTTTGGCATATGCCATATTTTTTAGGGCCTTATATACCATGTCATAGACCACGGAGTTCCTCAATTGGCTGTCCACTTAAAAGCGTGAAAAATGGGCTTTTGTTGCAAACAGGTACAGACCCTGACATATAGCAGAATAGCTTGCATATGTGGATCACATAAAGGTGAGTGATAGTATGCTGTCAATGACACACTGGCTCACAGGATTGTTAGCTCAGACCAGAGCATATCAAAGCAAGAACTCACAAGATTCTGAGGGCGGTTTTTGCAGAGCACATAGGTGTGGGCATTCTCAAAGTTCAGATTGCAGTATGAAGAAACCAGGTGCCACATGACTGGTGTATAAGTCTCTGCTGTTTTTTGCATGGTTCAGAAACTAAAGTGATCAATTGCTTCCCATGTAACTGAGGGTGCATGTTGTTGCTTTGTATTGTGAGGGGCTGCACAAGCTTCAACCTGAAGACCATTTTCTTGTGCTATCTGACTTGGCACGTATAATCTCTGTTACATCATTGATAGCCTATGTGGTAAGTGATTTTATTGTATGTTGTCTGTTCTTGGGACTCATGTCAGGTAGAAATGGTGGTCCAGGACCGACCATCTACTCCTCCTGTGCAATGATAAACAGTCTTGGCTGCATCATATATAACCTTGATAAGTGAACCCATTGTTCTTGTAGATGAGCCATTCAGCAGAGAAACAACTATCAGGGTATGTCTCTTAGTTTTCTCCATGACTCTGTTGTTCTCATTTTTCACTTAAAACAGATGGAAGAGAAATTTGGCAAGGCTCCACTTAATGTCTTGTATGGCTTCAAGAATGCCATTAATCTTTTGGCTGGTTGTGCAAGCAGGGTATCAGGAAGTTCATACCGGTGTTAGAAAGACTGACATTGTTGGGCTGGAGTGAGATATTCTGATAGCTTGTAACGAAATGATTGTTTTCATTACCTTCTTTACATCTTGGTGATCTGCTATCTACTGCTAATCAACATGAGGCTTGATGGTCTGATAGACTTGCTGATTGGCACCCAATTATCAGTGTCAGTGTACATTGCTAAGTTTATTCATGCAGAACATTTGGGCTTTGGATTGAGCTGTGAGAGAGCCCAATATTTGTGGTATTAGCACAAAATGGGGGGTTCATGCCAGAAGGTCTTACTTTGGTGCAGACCTTATTTACATGATATTAACTTATCATATATTGAATTAGGTAAGTAAGGGAGACTAATTGCTGCACAAGCAAATTGCCTTAGCTTCAATCTCTGCCAGCTTCTTGTGCGCATACTCTGTATCATCTGGGGATACAAGAATACCAGATTCTATCCACCATGCTTCAATGTCTATGAAATTCTACTCTGCCTTTGGATTGCTACTGAAATTGCTGATGAAAACACTAAATGAGACAAAAGGCAGGAGAAACAAGATGTACAGGAGCTCTTTATACCATCCCCACCGCCTCTGGCACGTGTCCCTCAACCAAAGATTGCCCAATGTTTACCACCACCTCCTCTCCTGCAGCATTCTTGCCACCACCAGAGTTGGCAGTTGGGTATTTTGGTGAGATGTGTTTTGCTAGTGAATCATAAATTAATGATTTTTCTCATACGTACAAGTCTCAGCTGGCCAAAATCTCCAGTGAAAATGATATTGACACCACCATATGTTACCCTCTTTTTGTATGGTGATGCAGTCAGTAATTTGTTTTATGCTTAGCTATAGTACTAAGTAAGTAGTTTGAGTCATAGTCTAGTCTACAGTATAGTAAAAAGAAAACCGTTATGCAGGACTGCATTATTTTTTATGTCCCTTATAAGTAGAGATAGTCTTCTTTGTCACCCAGCAAGGCTTCCTGTTATGCAAGATATGCATCAGTGGTTTCAAAGAGCTGGATGTTTGTCACCCTCCCTGGCATAGTCCACTGGGATATATTTGTATTATTTCTGACCCACATCTGAGTTTTGTTGGGTGCATACTGATAGAGGAATATATCTCCAGCTTGTGATGCCCCATATTCAGGAGGGTACTACAAATTCACATTTTTGCCCATGGACTCTAACAAAGCCATTGATCTGTTGATGCCTCTAAGTTTGATGCATGTTCATTTTATGTCGTGTTTTTTGGGGGCCACAAAATTGATGTCAGTTGTCCCTGGTAAACTGTTGCTTGTCTGAGTTGTGGGTGCCAGTGATTCCTGCGGTCCTGGCATTGGTGTTGTAGGAAGAGGTGCATTGTCCTGAGTCTGCTCTGGGCTAACAGAATGCTCGGTAGAAATTGAATTTCTGATTACAAGGGTCAGCATTGTGATTAGGTTAGAATTGTAGGTGTGTACAGGGTTGGATTAACAGATGGCTTCCTCACAACTTTGAAGGGAAAATGCTCCTGTAGCAATGACTTTTCATCCCAAACAACAGGGGAAAACATCACAGCAGAGGGACACTCTTCTTTCCTCAGATGTCTATGCAAAAACACTGGCAAAGAATTGGGATTTGCTGCCTCATACATTCAAAATGTAAGTACAATTTGATTAGTTGGGTTAACACTTACGTCAATATCTGCCTTGTAGCATGAACAATATAACAATATGGTGTGGTTGCATCACAAATGAAGCAAAATTGATATGAAAGGGGTTGTGTGATGTCTTTCATGTTGAGAGGGGGTTGGGGGGTTCAGGACTTTGAAAAAAAAAACTTTTGGTATGACACTTAGTAAATATTCAAATTAGCTCATTGTGCATAATTGCTGGGGGTTTTAAGGTGTTTTTGGAGGCTGATAATCTAACAAAAGCAATTGTATATATTGCAACAAAGACCTTGCAATTTTGAGTTCTTCCAAGTCTTTCTGCCTTGTTTCTGAAAGAGCCTCTCCAACAATGGTCTGGCATGTCCCACCTAATATAATACACACCTTTCGGGCATTTTTTGACTTCTGCTACCTGGTCTGACATGATATTCACAGTGATAGCACTGTTCAGAAAGTACAAGATGCAGTCAAATGTTTCCATCATAGCTGTGTCATCTTCCAGACCCTAGATATTTGACCAACCAGCTTTTCTCTCCCACAGCAACACTCACTTCAACACTATTCACAACTCATCTGAATGTTTTGGTCGCCAAATGGTCTTGTTTCTTGATAACTGAATCAAGGCACATTACAGCTGTAAAATAACCATGGCTTTGCTCAAGTAGATACAAAGCACTGGGTCAAATATTGCTTATCAACCAGAGGCTTGACAAAATTGTGGCCTCTTGTGTTGATTTTGCAGCCAGCAGAATGCTTTCAGGCAACATTCTGGACTATGCAAACCAAAGGGACACCACAGAGAATACAAGGGCGTTGAATGCAGGAGCAAGCTTAGAACATCACAATATTGAACATAACAATGATGATGATAACGGGCCAGTTCCAGGCCCAATGATGCCCAGCTATGTCAAACCATCAATTTGGCATGGTATATTTCAGCTGCTATACAAATACATATTGTACTAAAATATTTTTTAGTGTGTCAATATTTGATGAAGTGCCATGAACTCAGTGTACAACTTCATCAGCCCCGCCTTATTGAGTTACTCCGGTACTTCCTTTACAGCCAAGCGCACATGAACAACCATAACACACCCTCAGCCTTTGATATACCCCTGCACCAATGCCTCATGTTTAATTCAAGGGTAGTTGCAACTGCAGTAGAACCGGTAGTATGTGCCGAGAAACAATTCATGCCACACCTTTGTGGTAAAAGCATGCGGCTCATTACGACTGTACTTTTGTCAAGCACAATCCTTCAATTCCAGGAATCCAAGGACTTGATGTTGCTCATATTTTCACATTCCTTTCTTCCTCACATGATAATACTACTTATCCATGTGCTCTTATACAGTGGTTCTCTCATATTGTGGATGAGCCTGATAGACTCACTTGGTTGCAGAAGGTCCAGCCTGATACAAATGATGATGGATTACCCAGTCTCAAAATTATTCATTTAGACTGTATCTTTTGTAGTGCACATCTCATGCCTTTATTCGGCGATTATGGTCATTAGTTTATCCTATCTGACATTGATTTCACTAACTCACTAGATAAACTTCCTACATTCTACATTAATAAATATATAGACCATCATGCCTTTGGACTTAGCCAAGGATGATTCATAACTTGTCAAACTTGATTTAATACTTCATGTAATTGGACTACGCTTAGATAACACTTTGCTCAAAATGTCTGGATGCTTTTACTTAGACCAGCCTACATATTACTTGCTGTGTCTAAATGAACTTGAAGGTAAGTTGGCTTACTTTCCTGTTCACTTGATAGAGCTTTAATTCCTTATATTTCTTGAACAGTCTTGAAAGTCAGCAAAGTGTGACCAAGTTCCGTCAAGAAATTTGACACTTTACTGATGAAAAGAGTCTGGGCCGCAAAGCTACTAGTCTTAGTAGCATAATTTCCAGTGGGTCAGCAGGAAAATACCATGGTGGAGATGCAATTGTGGCGCTGAGCAAGTCCAAGTGCCCTCTAGATGGGTACAATAGTTGGCAGCCCGAGGTATGTTAACTGTGACTGATGATGATTGCCACAGTGAAGAAAAGTCTTACCCACTAGGTCTTTGATTCTCAGAATATCATTGATAACTGCCCCTTAATGCCTGCCTTGAATAACAAGTCACACCAATTTCTTATTCTCCAAACTGAACTTTTGCTGCCAAATCCTAAGATCAGAAAGATCAGAACAGCATTAGGGTCAGATTTGGAGAATCAGCCCCCCCAGCGCCTAGAGGACACTCTGCAACACATTGAATACAAGCTAAACTCCAGAGTGGCAAACTACATGTCCCAAGTGACCAGTGGCCTATATTATTATATGCTGACTACACTTATAACAGAGACAAGTCATGGGATGATTTGTTGCATAGTAGCCTTCTCATTTTGGTAAGTTATTTCTTCTTCTATGTATTGCATTTGTGGTTTACATTCATCCAGGCTTATAAATATGTGTTTTTATCACCTTTGTTGGTTGACTCTCAGAGTGACATTTGTGCCACTTGTTCTGGAAATGCCCGTATACATGGAATGTTGCAGGTGACACCTGGTACTATTGCATACATAGCTACACAAGTAAGTCACTATTGGTTTGCTTGTTCCCTTTCTGAACATCATTTGGCCAGGTTTGTTTTGCACTTCCATTGCAGTCCTTTTGTCTTCATTGCAAATGATATACTATAACCGTGTCTAATTTCTCGAAACACCTCTCCCTTATTTGAATCTATTGAGCACACTTTGACACTTATTTCTCAGGCATTAAATTCTACAGCAGTCCAGGTAGGTGTATCTATCTGTTGTGTGGGGCGGTTGTAGGGCAGCAGATACCCAGTGAGCGGACGACTATTGGCCGATGATCAGGCAACAAGTGGGTGATGCATTCCAAGTTTCTCAAAATATCTTATTTTGGCCCTTCCTTAGACAGCCATTAAAATACCTATTTTTCCAATATCAAAAATAAGATAGAAAATGAGATATTTTGGTTTTGCAGTTATATTTGTTAATATATCAAATTTTGTAGAGTTAGAAAACTTTCCGTTGAATTTCAAATAATTTGAAGTGATTTCACATTGACCAAATTAAATATTCTGACTGCTCTTTAATAATGATGGAATTTCCATGAAAATTTGATGTTTTGATTAGTATTTCAATGTCACTCAACATTCTTTCTTTCACTGTAATCAAAATGCTGATGCAAAATTTAATGTTTCATTTGTAATTTTCTATGTCATTTTGGGACAACAAAATTCTCCTCACTGTGAAGTGACAGTGGCAGAGCCACGGGTTGGATTTACTCTGTGATTATAACCAGCTTTTTGTGGCCACCATTGTTCTTTCACATGATATTTATATATGTTTGTTATATAAGAAGCATGTATTTATGTTGTTACGGCATTCTTTTGCCAGGGGAATCCTTCTCCCACACCTTTTCCCGTGCTCTGAGGGACCAAATATCCAACAGGACCTTGTCTAAAACAAAGGGGACAATGGTCCCAAAAGTTGTGTGCAACGCATGTGGGAGCACATTTTTTTGCTTAGTTTTGCTCGCATAGTTGTTTGTGGCACCACGGGTGTGGAAGGTGCTGCAGGCACCTGACAGTTCAAGTTGCAGCAAAGCTTTGACAACAGTATGCAATTCTCCCAACACATTATTCAATGCATGTCATATGAGTGGTCCAGCAGACATCCATGTAATTTATACAGGCTCGAGTCTAAGTGCTAAGTCCTCACTTGTAGGTATAATAGTGGTAGAATGAAGGTGGAGCCCACTCATAGTTATAGTGTTTGAATGTAGACTATGTTATTAGTGGAATAAACAGGCACTTAAATGATATGCTGCCATAAAGTAATTATCTATGAACTCAAATCAGTAATGGGATGATAAAATTTTGAGGCTACTAACCAAAGGATTGTTTCAATCATCGCTATCCAGGAGTGTGATGGGATATTCTGCTGACATCCCGGCAGAAACACGATAATGGTATCCCATAATGTTCTGAGCATGATAAATGTCTATGTGGCCATGGTTGCTAGTGCGGGCCCATTTAGTGTCCCGCTGGTGTTGAGAGCCAACTTCATGGCAGCAAATGTCCATGAAAAAGACCTTTGAAGTCCTTGCGAGTTTGGGTTTTGGAGCACCTTCTTATCACCCAGCCAGGTGTGGTTGTTGCCATCAGTGATGGATCCAGCATCAAGTTCAGGAGGTGTGGGATCTGTGCCAGTGGATGTCATGTTCTCATGCATGGAAAATAGTTTGGGGTGGCGATACAGAGGTACCGCCCAATGACAGATGATTTCAGAGAAAAAAGAGGGAGGTGGTGGAGGAACTGCCTGCACGAGATGCTTGCAGAGGTAGAAAGCATTGTGTTTTTGATTCCCAAGGCGCACTGCCATGTCCTGACTGATGTTTGATAGTATTGTGCACTGCAATGTGATTTTGACAGTATTTTTCAAGCAGTCTTGAATTTCACCTGATATGTTGTGAGTTTCTTTGCATGTCCAAGGCAATGGCCATCTTTTACAGTACTGGCACGCTGCATGTATGCAGGGGTGACTTTTGTGAGAAGAATCCACACAAGTTGATCCAAACGAGGCCACAGGAGGTGGTGCAGATAATTGTGCTTTAATTGTCTGAAGTGATTTTCAACATTCATTGTGGTCCAAACTCTGGAAATTCTTGATGTTGTTGATCGTGCTCGCAGATCTTATCGTGCAGGCAAGTACCATGCTGTCCACAGGTATCCCCATACCTCCCAGAGGCCTCGCACTTAGCAGAATGTGTACATTTCAAAGATAAATTACATTTCCCGCCTGAGTCACATTCAATGAATAGTGGGTGCTGGCAGAAGTGCTTGGCAAAAAGGTGAAGAATGGCTTTGCGGTGAGGCACAGGACAGAATACATAGTCTGGGCTGTCAGACTTTTGCTCGCCTTCGTCAAATACCCAGTCAGGTGCATCCTCTACTTCAACACCATTGTCATCTCTCAAGCCTCTTAGGATGCCCCCACCTTCATCATCATCACCACTAGCACTGCTGGTGTCATCATCTTCAGAGACTTGATCTCCATCTTCCAAATTCCCAGCTAATTCAGTTTCGGGCAAACCAGACAAAGGAGGAAGGACAATAACCAGTTTTTGCTTTTGTGGTATGGTGAGAGGCTGTACTATACCATTCAAGCGCACAGTTATTCGTGGCAGAGCTTGTGTAGCCACATAAGCATCCTCATTACTCTGTACATAATTCCAGTGAGCTTCAAGATATTATCAGCATGTAACATGGTAAAATACATACCAGCGGCAATTATCATTGTGCCAGAGGCACAAAATTCTGATCTATCCAATGGAACTTGAGATGTGCAATATTGGCATCATAGAATGCAGGCATACACCGCAAAATTGCCAGCCTCTGCTTAATGGCCCGGAGTGCATGCCAAAAGCACAATTGGTGCTTTGCCTCTGGAAATTCAGCTCGGAGTGCATTGATCTCAGTCCAATCCTTGTCTGAGAGTGTGATAAGAATCTGGAGGTCCCAGTTATTTTTAAGACATTTGAGGAACTGACAAAGGAGCTTTTCTTTACCTCCTAGTTTGCTGCCATTGGACTGAATCAAAATGTATCCAAGAGGAAGGCCTGATCCATATACTTTGCCAAGTGCAGCATACAACTCGAACTGTGTGCCATTTGTATTCCCTATTGATCAAGCCATCAGTGCCTGAATTCTCATGTACATCAAAAGTCTCACATGTGGAATCAAGAGATAGCTCTTGTATTCTTCCACCCCACTGCTTCAAGGCATCTGGGAGCACAAAAGCCAGAGCCTCTAAACTGGGTTCTGGAATCAGCTCAATTGGCAACACAGAGTAAACCCCTAGTCCTCCTTGTTTGCATCCCTCCTCCAGAAGCATTTTTGCTGACACCATCTCATCTTCATCACGCTTCCATTGCTGGCTGCCAATTTTAGACCAGATCTGGTAGATATCCTTCCCCGTAAACATCAGATTAGGGTACTTCTCGAGAATTTTATTCCATAACTGTGAGAGAATATGTCTTCTCACATAGTTAGCATACCTGTGAGCTAGTTGAATCTGAATTTCATTTCACGAGTTCATGAACCTCTTTTGGGATATCAATGCAACAGTAAGGGATATGATCCTCTCGGTGTGTCACAGATATTTCAGCGATCATAGAGTGACGTGAAATAGTGATATACAGCCGGCCTTCACATGCAAAGGTAAGCATGCTCTGCTTATCACGTTTCTTCTCTACATCCGGAGCACTCTTTTTAGGCTTCTTGGAGTGTGTATTTCTCTGTGCACAATGACATCTATACTGGATTATGTCACCACCAGAACGTCGATAAACATATTTACTATGATAGCTAGAAGATGATGATTGACTTTAATATCATGTGGAAATTGGCAGCAGTGCTACTTACAGCCAATGGTAACTCATCATATCCCAAATTAACTTGGTAATACAGTCTGCAATTGTGCGGGTATCCAGAGACAGATTTGGGTTGACACTGCTAATGTCCACATTAGCATCCACTTCAAGGTGATTCCCCTGCCTGCTGAGAAGTGCGAGGAAGTCTTCCAGTGCTACAACACCAAGTCCAGCAGCCGCTGACTCATTGGTGGGTTCGTTGGTGGTATTTTCCTTCTCAGTATCCCATATTTCACGGTACTTCTCTTTAGCCCATTCAGACTGTCGTACAGAACAAGACATACAAGTTGCCTTTGGCAGTCCTTTGCCCTTGCCATTGGTAGCCAAGGCAAACTGTTTCGAAGCAAGTACCCGCTTGCACCCAATGCATTCCTTGGTTGTTGCCTCGGTCAAGGTTATGTTGTCGGCATCACTGGTCCCTAAACGAGGCATAGCGAACCAGCGCTATGGGCAAGAAGCTGATAGGCTGGGAGGAAGTGCGGGCAGTCAACGTAAACGTTCCAGACGCTTTCAACGTGTCTGGGTCCAGCAAACAAACAATCATACAGCATAGCCACCATAGTCCACTGGACTATCACGTGACCTCCGTGGATTAATGTGTTGGGAGAATTGCACTCACTGTTGCGATGAGTGCAACTCGTACTAACTGTAGAGTGAAGGTGAGCTGACATCACTCATATCCCGCTAAATTATCGACACCGTTAAGAACATGATGCCAAAGACACCCTCCAATGACCAAAGGAAAGAATGTCAATCCTGCAGATGCATTCAGTATGTGTTTTGTCAGGGTTACCAATATCTTATTGATATTCGAACATCTGTATATGCAATCAGGAAAGGCCCAGAGGAAGAAAGAGCTGAAAAAGGCGAGTGTTGATATCTATTTCTGGTGGTTAAGTTAGGTTTAACATAAGCCTTTTGGATACGATAGAATAAGGTCGAGCGGACCAAGGCCCGTGACTTTGCACTCGTGAAGAAAGATACGCACGGTATGTGTGGATTATCACGGTAACTCTATAATTTATTCTTGGTTTTGTCTGTAGATCTCGAAGATCAAGTCGCCAAGCTAGAAGTAATTTCTAATCGCTCTGCAGCAGAACATATCCAACTGGCAAATCTCAAAGCAGAACTAATTAAAATTATGAAAAAGAAGGAAGATTACGTTGAGGATCATCCCGAACACCGCAGGCTGGTCTTTAGAGGCAGAAAGGTAGCGAACGAGGATGACGTTAAAATATCATCAATGGAGCAAAAGAGAAATCTATTTAACAAACATGGACTTCCCAGACACCCAGCCAGGAGTATTTACTATAACTCTGTCATGAATCCTTACGGTGTTCCTCCACCAGGCATGCCTTACATCGAGAGACGTAAGTGTTTTTATCTGCCGCCTTTAGATCGCTCAATGTTTGTGTAGCTTTCAAGCCAGACGAGGTCGCTAGTGACGAAGAAGACCATGGAGGTAACCCCCATCACATGCTCGGTGGCAGTAACTGACGCATTTTGATATCAGATGATGGAATCGTTATGCCAGCGGGACCTCCACCCACAGCTGGATCTGAAGATGTACCAAGTGATTCTGACGGTGATATACCTTTGCCAGTAGGTCCACCGCCCCCAAAGGACTCTGGTGCGTATTATGCTGCTATTGTGGCATGTGAAAAGCTCATAGATTTTTACTTTCTGTTCCGGCTCATCCCCTCTATTCGTACCTCCATTGTCGCCCTACTCCTGTGGACAACAGTGAAAAATAGTCTTGTCCCGCCCCCGCCCCTGCCCCCTCATCCAGTTGGCCTCTTTCAGCCTCTACACGTCCCCATGGTGTTCCCCCCATTTATGTATCCACCTCCACCTCCAGGGCCTATGAATGTACGTCCTCCATCCGGGCCACCACCAGCCTTTTCAGGCCCTGCTTTGTCGATGTCAATGCCCCCACCCCCACCTGGATTTTTCTCTCGTCGTGCCCAGTCAGTCTCCGCTATGCAAGCGCCATTGTCGTCTGCGCCTCACCAGACCTATCAGGCACATGCTGCCAATCGCGTCGCAGCGAATGCCTATCTCCCACGCGATTCTAAGTTTCCTCTTACTACAGGTTCTTCGGTCTCTGGGCCTATTACTACTGCGGCTACAGTTTCAGCCGCACCCCAATTGAGGGACTTCAGGAAGGAAGCAACGGCCTTCGTTCCAGCATCGTTAAAGCGGAAAAAACCTACTGCCGCAGGGCCGACTGCATCCTCTAATATCAATGCCGCTCCATCTATGACTCTAGTTTAAACAGTGTCTACTCAGAGTCAACGGATGCAACCGCTAAACTGATATAGCCAGCGTTCTAAAGAATCAACTTGGCTGTATGCCTGTACAAGCTGTAGTCGGTACGGACGTTCAAAGTAACGCAAAGAGTGGCCGATTCACTGGATTAAAAAGCAGGGGTGACTATGATAAATTTGTGGAGGAGATGGTAGACATATTGGGACCTTAAAGCAACTATTTCCTATTTACGCTGGTTTAAGATCCGTCGTAGAGGTACAGCATCAATGTCGAAATGGAAACCTGGAATCTTTGAGTGTCACTTCTGTGCGGTATTTATTGGAGATCATGTGAGTTCACCGAATTGATTGTAAAATAAGTATAAATGAAGAATATTTGTATTTGTTTATTCAAAATTATGGGTGAAAGGATTTTAGCCTTTCCGGCATCAACAAACGAGGATGAAGAGCTGCGAGGGAGGGAGGGAAGAAAAGTGCATAGCCGAGTAGCTGTAAGAAGAATCGTTTGTAGAGCGATAGAATGAAGTGGAGTAGGTTAGGAAAGAGGTCGAAGTTGTTCGGCCGGGGAGAATCGATTTACGAAAGCCGAATGGATTGTGGCGATCCATTGGTTAAGCGAGCGGTAGCCGCACCATTTAGAGGGTGTGACAATTTCGGCGCGGATGATATGTGTTTGGTCAATACAGCGAAAAACTCTCCATCTGATCGATGGGGAGGTTATCTCTTCGATGAAGATGATTTCGTATCATTTGCTCCAAATGTAACATCCTGATTTTAGGATGATGGAAGGTTGGTGGTCAACTTTCCAACGATTGTGGAGTGGAAAAGGGTGGTTGGTAGGAGTGAAACAAGTGATGTTGATGAAAGGGATGGATAGAGGGTGACGTGCAATGGGGCCAAAAATGTAGTTGTGGGGGTAGTCGATGTCGCAGGAGAAGTCAGGACAGTTGAGGCGGTGTTCAACGTGGATGTCTGGTGGGCGGAAGGAAAGTGGTGCAAGTGGGGGACCAGGCAATGGAGGGAATGATGAATAATACGCAGAGGAGTGTACCACTTTAGATGGTAAGATATCGTTGGATGAAGAGAGAGAAGGAAAAGTGATAAGGTGAGGAGCATGGATGGATGATTGTCACTCATATTGATTGAAGGATTTAGTGAATGTTGGATGGTAGTGCTGCAATGTTATTGGAAGACATGGTGGGAGAGATGGTGAGTGTTATTGAGGAGAATATGTGGAGAGTTTAGGAGGCGCCTGAATAGAGGAGCCAAGTTGCTGGTTTGGTCAGGGAGGATATTGATAAGAAAGGAATGGTGTAGGAAAAGGATTGAAAAGAGAAAAGGAAGTTAATTCGTGATTGGTGGAAAAGTTAAGTTAATGTGGTTGTTAAGGTGAAAAAGAGGGAAGATGGTAGTGTTGATTGGTAGTGATGTGTCATGAAGGGTCCAGGGTGGGCGGGAGAAATTTTGGAAATTTTTCTTTTCTTTCTTAGGGGTGTATTTGGGATGGGGAGGAGAGAAGAGATAATGTTGCAGTCGTTGATCGTTCCGCCAAAGATAAGATTCTATTACGTAACTCAGGACTCGTTTCGAAATAGACTGTTGACCTACGGGTCCAGGAATATCAAAATGAACCCACCCTTGGCGGCACTTTCAAGGTGTTCTCCCACGCATTGTCAGATGCGGTTTCTCTGTAGGGGAGAATGTATCTAAGAAGAGACGGGCTCTTGGGAGATGGTTACCCTCAAATCCTTAACGGGATTGTAGTTATCTGGCGGAATGTAGGTAGCAGAGCCTCCCCAAATAAATATGTTGAGGATTGTGACCTCCCTCGGAGGAGGCTCAACCTGTGGAGATATGTTAGCTATGTTTTTTCTTGGCATCTTTCCGAAAATGTCAGAGGGAGTAACTTTTTGACTTATTCACCGTTTTTGACCTTTTCGGAACCTCATTTCTCATTATGTTTTTTCTTCTTGTGAATCAGTATTTAACAAGGGTGTGAATCTTAAAATGAGCCTCAAGCTAGGGCTTCCAAATTTCACGCACAAAATACGAAGAATTTGACAGTGGTATTTATCAATTGATATAACAAAGCGAGACAGCAAACATAGTAGCAACAAAATGACGCAGCTATGGAAGGGGGGAACAACATGATATTAAACGATACCTAAAGGGTGAGAGTGTTGCGAGACATTTCTCTTCCCTTCCCCTTCATCGCTGAGCTGATCCTACCACCTTTCACACCGACTTCTTATCCTTTTTGGGGCCCAACAAACGAGGTCGCTTCCTGGCTGTATGCTTGGACATCGATCCCTTGGCCTTGCACTTGCTATGGGATGGCCCAACCTAAAGGCTTGCGTCAGAGCCTTCCGATCTGTCACTGACCCTATGCTTGCCCTCCTTCTCCAAAACGGCATTGCTGCCGGTGTGCTCAACACTGCTGGCCTTGTCTTTGTTGCGCTTTTTCGCTTCTGATGGTCGACTGCGGATTACTACCTCCATTCTCATTCCTTCCGGATGACCGGATTTTTTCGAGGGTGAGTTGTCGTGATCGGCCAAAGCGTCATGGTTGTTGACGACCCAACTCTTGGCTGATGGCGCAGTCTACGTTGGTCCTTCTTGTTCTTCTTGACGAGGCTTATGGTAGGATTGGTTCGGCAGGGTAGGCCTTTATTATCCATCTTCTGGTTTGAGAATGTTCTCCGTCCAAATGCATGGTGAGAATCTGGTGAAGGCGTGACGCCTAGGATGACAGGCTGGATGGATTTGAGTAATTGAGTTGTAGATAGTGTTATACAAAACAAAACTAGCATGGTATAAGCAATAGCATACCTTTCATCTGAGGCTCGGACTTGAAATATAAATGTTCAGCGCCTTGATCTTGAAGGCTCTAGACAAGTTTTGCATGTTCTGCTATGATGAGATCGGAAATGCCTTTTGGTTTGGCAAAGTGGAGCATTCTTCACCCGGGAGCAGAACACCATACGGCCAGTTGTGATAAGCAATCCCACGTCCTGCGAGTTTGTTAACCATCCTTTTCCAGGGGAACAGCTTGCCTGATGCAAAGCTGTGGCCGAGAGCCTCTGGACCGGAGAATAGGTGAATGACTAGACCATCGCATGACCATAGGACACTTACCGAGCTTAGAAGACATAAGCTTCCGAATGAAGTCAAGCACATTTTGGGAGCCCCTCCCAAACCATCCTTGCGCACCTCTTGGAGAGCCCCGCCCCAACCACCCTCATGCACCTCTTGGGGGCCTCTCCCAAATCATTGTCAACCATCAGTAGTGCGACCTTCAAACTGTGCTCTTTGGCAAAGGCATCCACCTTTCAACCTTCAGTATAAGTATCCTCGACATCTACTCAAGCTGGACCAGGTTTTTCTTAGAGACGTTCAAGTCTCAGACTCGTTCCTTAGGATTTGTGTGGGCTTCTCGTGGAGTGGAAAACTGGGCGCGATGAGATGGTAGAATAGGTCGATAGTATTTTCAAGCAGACTGGAAGCTTCTATGATATCCTCACCTCCCTCTTCCAGAAGATCCAGGGATATTGCTTGAAGATAGGAAGGGGCGATGGAGGCGGGAGTGGTTATGCACACCTCTGCCAAAGGATCTGGATTGGTGCTTGAGGCGGAAGTGGTTGAGTAGGGATTAGTATGGCATGTCTGATCACCGCGGCGGGGGGAGTTAAGAACTTGAGGATTGGTCATAGCGTCTGGGTTTGATATAATGAACTAATGGAGTTAGATCTGTCGAAGGCACGTGAAGTTCACATTGCCACCTCAGACAGCGATTTTCGGATGTATTAGTAGTCATACAGACCGGGTTCTTTTGCAGAGCGAAACCGGTCTGTGAGACCCAACATCCGCGTCTGTAATGGAACCAAAATCTAAAAATAGATTTTATCCTTTCCAGATGGCTCCCTGCACCCTCCTCGTCGTTGCTGAGCCTCTGGTCAATGCTCGTTGAGGGCCTTACTATAGGTTGGTGCTGACACTACCTACAACGCTTTTCAGGTGAAGTCTATTTTCTCACGCTTTTTCTCTCTTTTCTTTTCTTCGTCTACATACCCCGGTATTTCAAGATCATTGAGCGTTGAACAAGCACAGAAATACATGCTATTCCTACCATCACTCTCAGTCAGCAGCACTGGCCAAGCAAAAAGAGATAGCTAAAAGGCCAGCAAGATTGCACGGTTGGAAAGGGAGGCAAAAATTGCAAGGGAATCATGTCTATCCAGAAAGCTGGTACCTCAGGTGCGTACTACTTGGAAATAAATGAATCTAGCACTGACTTGATCACACTGATACTCTTATTGTTTTTTTAGCCTGTGTGTCACAATGACTCGGATGTCAGACCAGATCAACATACTGAATCTCACATAGATTTCACGGTAGATACACCAGGTGAATACTTTGTGTATACCCACCGGCGAGTTCTCATTCTATCCTGACACCAAACACAGCTGGATGCAGTAGTGCAACCACAATCAATTATGATGTACCAATAGTTCTGGATTCAAGTATTAATCACTCAGTGGTTGCGGTTACTGAAAACTCAGATATTTCAGGTAAATACAGGCATGAAACATTTCGTTATATAAACTGACAATACACCCCAAATACAGCTAGACCATCTCGCAACAGGAGGCTGCCTCAACATTATTGTGATGACATGCCAGAACCACCAGCGCCCCTGCCAGAAGTGGACTCTACATCAAGTATTCGTAGAGTGATCTTGCATGTATGGGATACAGTCCACACTCTAGTCAACTCTTTTGGCTTGCTTTATGAATACCCATACCGGCCCTCCTATGATCCAGATAGCCTGTTGTTGTCTGCCAGCCTCTCCAACCATTTAAATGGGGAGCACAGTTCAGTGTTGGATAACTTGGACTTGTCCCAGGAAAATTCAGATAATATCTCACCCTGGCCATTTGCGACCATGTCAATTTATTGTCTAATGCGGTGGATGTTTTCAGGAAGCAAACACAAGTCCATACAGGAAATCAATTGCCTTGTACATGAGGTGATTTTAGCCAAAGACTTTGATCCCCAGGAACTCGAGAATTTCAGTGTTCAAAAGGTAACCCGTATATTGGACTCTTTGGGTGACAAAGAATCCTCTGGGTTCGCAGATCATTGGAAAGCAGCTGACATCGTGATTTGAGTTCCCACAAGAGTTCCTGATAGCAGTGGACAAGGTCAGCCATATACGGTTCACGGGTTATATTACCGACCATTGGTAGAAGCCGTCAAATTTGCCTTCAGCGGCACGTCTTCCTCGCACTTTCATCTGTCACCATTCAAAAGATACTGGGTCAATCCTATCACTGAGAAGGAACAGAGAGTCTATGACAAGTTATACACCTCTAATTTGTGGATTTGAGCTCATGAGGAGCTGCAAAAGCAGCTACCAGAGCCAGGATGTAAACTGGAAAGAGTGATAGCCGCTCTGATGTTCTGGTCAGACAAAACTCACCTTGCAGATTTCGGAACTTCAAAAGCCTGGCCTGTGTACCTGTACTTTGGCAACCTTTCCAAATATTTTCACGCAGAAGTCAATTCCCGCTCCTGCAATCAAGTTGCATTTATACCATCGGTTTGATTTCTGTTGTTTTATTGCTTCATGTATCTAACATTTGTCAAGTTGCCTGACAGCTTCCAGGATTTTCTCAACACTGTATGTGATGTGTCAAAAAGAGCCAAAGCAGCCATCCGGACCCATTGCCGTTGTGAGCTTGTACATGCAGTCTAGCAGCTACTCCTGGTTCATGCATGTGTATCATCATGGTATTGTCTTGAAGTGTTTTGACAACATTTTCTGCAGGATCTTTCCTCGATTCTTGACATATTCGGCTGATTATCCAGAGAAGTTGTTATTTGTGTTCTACAGCATATTAGCGCAATGCTGACATGGCCAATATAGAGTCCTTCTGGCAGCACTGCGGGACATGGGAGGGTGTCCATGCCCTCGGTGCTTGACACCATTAACCAAGTTTGATAAACTTGGATCAGCATGGGACATGACCAACCGTATGACTAACATCAGGGTTTTTTGGCAGTACAAGATTATCGCTGCCAGAGATTTTATATATAAACTAGGGAAACCGGTTAATGCACAAGGTGTTGAACATTTACTCAAAAAGCACTCGCAGGTTCCAACAATGGTGAGTTGAAATTTTCATTATACAGGCCTAACTTCCTGATTACTGGTTGCAGAATGCATTTGCTGAAAAATTGACACCTCTGGGTGTCAATATTTATGAAATGTTTGTTGTTGACCTGATGCATGAATGTGAATTAGGAACCTGGAAGGGCCTGTTTTGCCACCTCATAAGGTTGTTGTGAGCTCTTCCTGGTGACCACGTTGCAGAGTTGGATAGAAGGTATGTGTTACAATTGACATACCAGCACCTACTTACGCTTCACTTTTTGTACTTTTTATTTTTACTTTTTCCAAGTCACATGACCAGTCATGTGACCATTTACTTTACTTTACATTTTTCGGACTTTTCATAGTCACATGACCACTGTCTAGGCTCACCATGTGACTGGTCACATGCCAAACATTGGACTTTAAACTTTATTTACAACTGTACAGTACCTCATGTATTTTAGTATATATACAGGGGCAATACATGGGGAAGGACTCAGCGAGTCCTCCTGTTGTCTACCAACAACTAACTCGGTCGCACCTTGAGGGGAAATCCCTCCTTCTCATTACTCTTTTGAGTGTTGTTTTCGTTGTGCTCCAGTGTCCCAAGACTGTGTCTTGTTGGTGTTGTCACAGTATGTGTAAAACAATTGTTCTAAGCATTTAACTAGTTGAAGTTATCTGTATTGCTCAGATATTGAAGAATACCAAGCTTTGGTCAAGGAGTCATACAACAATTCACCAACAATGCGCCAGAAATGAAAAAGTTGGCAGCAAGAGACTTTGAGAATTTGTGACAGGTGATGATATCATTTTCTGGTTACTCTGACACTGTTACATTAATGCCACCTTTATAGTGCTCTATACCAGTATTTGAAGGACTCTTTCCTCCACCGCATGACAGATTAATCCAGAAAATTCTCTTCCAGTTTGCACAGTGGCATGCACTGGCTAAGCTTTGAATACACACTGATTCAAGCCTGGAAGTGCTGTCCGACTCCCTCAAAGCTCTAGGTCAGGATTTACAATGCTTCTGTTCAACTACATGCTAAATCTGTATGGTAGTGACATTGAGGGTTTTGAGGATAACGTGGCAGGAATTGATGGAGATGAGTCCGAGGAAAGGGGAGATGAACACGAACTTGGAAAAAATGTAGCAGAGTTTTCATGGTAGCATATTGACAATTATATCTTACTTCTGAACTAAAGAGCGTGCTGTTTTAACCTGAAATTCATTGGACATACTATGGTAGTTTTATAAGTTGTTTATGAAATGTGGCCATCTTACATTGAACTAGCATAGACCATGAGCATTTTTGCGGTAGTATATAGGTTGGTAAAAGTGAATTTGAAAAGATAGAAGCATGGGGTTGGTTACAAATGTAGTAGTTCTTCTACATATCATTGCCATGTGTCGTGAATGTTAAGGCATCATTATTATGAGCAAACAGATGATGCATGTTTGAAAAAGGGTCATAGGATTGTATAGTGACATTGCAGGAGTCCACACAACCACCTAGTCATGGCAAGACCTTGGGATGTCCTATAGAGTTGAGTAGGCATTAGAAGGAAACTGTAAGACATTATTAAACCCGGTCAATGTGATGCAGAGGCAGCAACGACTTACTATGATGGGCGTGATCTGCAATGCCTTACAATGTCAAGTATCTCGTTATGGTAATCGACAAATATTTATTGACTGGCCAAACAAAGCAAGACACTAGCAGGCTTAACTGATTTCACTGATGACTGGAAAGTGAAGCATGGATTTGTTTCATTCACTGACACTATAAATGCTGGAATCACAAAAGACACATGAAGAGAAACAAAAAGTGACTTATCTGTGATACTCCGTAGTTTTTGAGTGAGCAGGCAATTAGGGTCGTCTTTTTGAGGAGAAAGGTGGGAAATGGTGAGAGGAAGGAATAAGGAGGGCACTGGCATTGCATGGAAATTTTTGTAGTCAAATGAGGATATAATGCATATGACTGACAAAAAAAAAATAGAAGTGATCGTTGATAGTATCCTTCTGAAGATTCACCCAGTAGGAAATTGACAGTCCAATGCAAGAGACTTTTTGTGGGGATGAATTGGATGCTTCAGGAGCCTCCCAATGTTCAAGTCATATCATATCCCTTATATTGCATCACCTTTACACGAGTTGACACCTTTCTATATCAGAACAAACAAAATGAGTTTACAACAACATGCAATATGGCAACAGCTTGTAAACAAGCAAGAAGGAGTAATATAGGCAGTAAAGAAAACAAAAATCAGTACAGTGTTGGAAAAATTGATTTCACCAGATCAGGCCTGTGGGCATCTTACGCAACATCATCCAACCTGACGGCCTGACAGTATAATCTAATCACCTTACAATGACTGATCACACATCATCAGACCTAATAATACTGTGCTACAATGTGAGTTGGCTGGGTCATGCCTTATCATAGGCCAAGTAAAACTTGCAAAGGCTTAAGGGTCTCTGACTGCTCTGTATTGCATCAAGCGTAACTCAAAACCTCTGCAAGAGGCAAACAAGTAGAATGACTATGAATGAAAATTTGGTGGATTAGTGGTGTAAACTGAATATGTATCAATTTCAAAAGCATAGAAACATGTCTTCATCAACTGTATCATTGAGAAAATATAATCCATCCTTCAGGCCAAATGCTTTAATCATGTGGACCCCACGAACAAAATACTACATTAATATGAACTTCCTTTCCCTAGTCTCTTTGTACAAGTGAACATTTGGCCAGGTTGTTCATAACTTTGCTATAGACGGCTTGATTAACCTTACATATGCTATATCTACTGTGCCAGACTGAAGGTAACACCTAAAAAGCCCACACAGTCGAACGGGCACCGGTTTGTGACCCTCTGTGTTGACCAGAATGAAGTCATAGCAGGGACTTTGATTGAAACTGGGGTTACATCGCAAAATGTTGCAGCCTTCTGTCCAATCCTCTAGCAACTGATATGTGAGGTATATACACCGGTATGGTCGGACCTGTATAATATTTAGTCTGCGCAAAAACTGTTTGAGTATAATAAAGCATACTTTGATAGGCCTATCATCAAATCTCGCATCCACAACATTTGTGGAAAGGAACCTTTGTAGAGATTTGTCGAGATGGGAGTAGCCTTGAACCTCTTTTAATGCACTTGCATTAGTTAGTGCTGTTGGTGAACCAAGCGTCCAATGAGAGCTGTCGTCAATGAGGCCACTTATTCAGTCTTGTAGGTCCAAGTCTGAACCTGCTTCTGATTCTTGTTCACACTTATGTTGCATACTATCAGCATTGTCAACCATCATTTGGATATAAGACACAGCTTCCTGGTTTTCATCAATTTGGGCCATCTGTAGTTTACCAAATTTTAGTGGCCTTGAAGTAAAGTCAAATTGAAAGTATACCTGTGGGTCGGCATTTTTACAGTTAGTCTGCTGATATGCTTCATGAACTTCTTGGTGGAACCCCTTGCCAACCCAAGTCTCGTAATTGTTGGTTGCACCTTTCTGACGGATCTCTTCAATAACATGGTTGACATCATGCGTTTCTTGAAGTCAAAATTTTTGTTGTACTCTTGTTTGACATGCTTTGGAATCACGTAGTTAGTGGGTTTTATTTATGTACTTGGTTTCCTAGTCAATATATACTGCACAACAAGTCTTATAGTCAGAAATATATTGCTGGAGCCATTGGAGGTGCTCGTCTGTCATGCAATGCAGCCCTATCATCATGCGGTACTGAGCATATGCATGGATAAATAGGACAAGCAATGACCTAGGTGGCAACAAACTAACAATACAAGGGAGACAACACTAAAACAATAGAATAAGTGAAGATATCTGCCAACGAGCAAAAACTATAGAAGTCTTACCTTCAGTATATCTAAAAAGACTTGTCCGTCTGCATAATCAACCGTTGTCACATTTGAGAAGTGCTTGAGGCTGGGCCAGCGCGAAACATTTCACATGCTAGCGTAATATTGTCAGATGTAATGTAACATTAAAGTTGAATGGAACTTACTTCGCTGCAATACACCCTGTTACAATTAACATACCAGCACCTACTTACGCTTCACTTTTGTACTTCTACTTTTATTTTCCAAGTCACATGACCAGTCATGTGACTATTTACTTTATTTTACATTTTCAACTTTTCATAGTCACATGACCAGTCATGTGACATATCACCTGACCAGTGTCTAGACTCATCATGTAACCGGTCACATGCTAGACATCGGACTTTGAACTTTATTTATAACTGTACGGTACCTCATGTATTTTAGTATATATACAAGAGCAATACATGGGGAAGGACTCAGCGAGTCCTCCTGTTGTCTAGCACAACTAACTCACTGCAGCCAAAGGGGTAACCACTCCCCATCATCTTCTTTATAGTGTGTTCCTGTGTGCGCCAGAGTAAATAACTCTTGGTTGTTACACACCCTTTATTTCCATTTTCAGTGAGTATTCTAAGGAGTAGCGGCCAAAGATGTTTTCCCCATTTGCCTAGATCACCTGAGTGCAGTTTGTTGTATGAAACAGCTTGATAAGGGTCTGAATGGTCCAAAGACCAAAAGAAATTCTGATAAAATGATGAGAATATAACAAAAGGACTGAATATGGACATACCTCTGTCGCATAAAGCCCATAGTCTTGTAAGATATGCTCCGCCTTGCTTCTATTGTGTGCTTGGGCACTATTTGTAAATACTTGCTGCATTGTTGCTGTTGACCAAGCCTAAAATTTGCAATCAATATTATGTAGATTGTCATGATGCACTAGACACTTTGGGCAGGGGTAGTTTGCAAGTGCTGCTCTTGTAGCTGTGGTTGCACAAATTTCTCCGCCATCAAGGGCCTTGATAGGAATTCCTGGATATGTTATTCTTTTAACTTCGTCTCCGCACTCCATAGCTTCACCATGTGATGCTCGTTCTTGTAAACTTTTGAATATCACCCTAAAAACTTTATGATAAACCTCTCTTTTGAAGCATGCCCACTGAACTGTCTCAAATGCATTGCGATCAGAAGGATCACCAGGATCTGCAGGCTAGAAAGTGAAACAAAATCTGTGAGTGTGAGTAGAATATGGAAGATATCAATATAACACTTACCACCGCCATGTAACCAATAAGAACCCCACCACCGTTGCCAGAGGCATTTGGTATCTGTTAGGGTAGAAAAGCAGGCCATATTATAATGGGATGCTTCTGCACTTGTTTTGTGATATTTTCTTTATCAAGCCAGAGAAAAATATGGAGAAAACAATGTGGGTACTCGTCATTTTGTGGAAACATGTCCTAAAAGCAGTTTGCAATTAAGCCAAAAGTGTATATCTGCAAATAAAAGTATGCCAGTACCTGTATGTCCCACCATTTTTTACCTATATTAAACTCATTGTACATCCGTACCTTGATTACTATTCGGCCATTTTGAGAACAGAAATACTTGCGAGTAGGGTAAGGCATTATAAAGGGTGCTAGTGTTCTGTCTGTGATCCAATTTTGGTAAACTTGCCAAGGGTCACGGTACACAAACTCAAAATTGAATTTCTTGCCCAAGAATTTGGCGGAGACATGGCCATTCTGAAACTGTCAAACATCAGTGACCCTCCACTGCAGTAAACAAGGGAGAAAAAACTGACCTGTACACAGAGAGAGCATGCAGCTCTCAATGTGTTTTCCATTTCATTATAGCTGTGGAATGTTATAGCTATATCGCGTGCCCAGCCGTTATGAATCCCATAAAGCTGTGTGTTCACGGTTTTTTTACTGAACAGGCCTTTAACAGCGGTTTCTGCATATTCAAAGTCTGCACGAGTTCTGAAAGGAGCTCATGGTTTTTGATTCACACTTGACATGTCAACGTTGTAGTGTGAGCTGGACTTGGAGGGCATATCTGGTGGTATGATGGTTGGTTTTTTGATGCCGCTGTGGGGGTGATGGATAATTTGAATGTAGCTTGATGGCAATGTCTCCATGACACTGGAGTCTGGTACTTCTCAAGCTTGAATTGACGATGAAGGCTCAGCTGGACACTCTGCAATACTATTGCATTGAATGATGATGTCGTTGTCAGGCATTTGAGTGATCTAGAGTATAATTTGTCATTTGTAGATGCAAAAAAAGAAGTAGCAAACCTGTGTAGAGTCAATGTCACACTTACAGTGCTTGTGCTGTTGGCTAGAGTGGTTCTCCATGATACGTGCATTAAGGTCTTCAACTTGAGTGGTTGCCTCCACCTGTTGTAAATTTTGATGTCAGCAAGCTTCCACATGTTTGTCAAACTGGCAAGAGTTTTGGTGTGTTCTACAGAACTTACACTACATGCCCTCAGTGACTCGTTTTGTTCTGTTCCCCATGTTGATAATCAGAATGTGTGTCTGTAACCTGCATTTTCATTATAGAAAATAGCATGAGTTGAAAGGAAATGAAGAGAAACTGACCGATGGATGTATACGTCATTGGTTGATAGTGGTTGCCACAGCATCAGGATCGGACTAGTAGTTGGCACTTCTGTTTGAAAACATCTACTGCATCTTAGCCATTGTTATATAACCAGCTATATTGTGTTGAATCAGAACTTGCCAACAAAATGAGGGAAATTTGAAAGAAAGGTGGACAAAAAGGTTACAATCAGAGTGGTGTCAACAGGAGAGGGCAAATACCATGGGAACAGAATAGAAACAAAGATAGTCCAAGCCAGGGACAAACAAATAGTGTATTGGTCAGTGACCATCATCAAAGCCAAGAAATAGAAGATATGCATCAGCCTTCTGATTCAGATGAAGAGCTTGAAGTTCACCGAGACATGTCACCAGCAACACTATACAAGGTATGTTGCAACTCAAATTGATTGTTTTAAAAAAGATTCAGATACATTAACAATGTACTTGATCTTGAAGGCTGCTCGTAAGGCACAAGTTGCAGCAAATTCAGCTAGGGAGAGTGAAAAAGCTACACGACATAAATATGAAGACTTGTTGAACGATAACGGAGAGAAGTCAGACAACTCACACAATAGAAATCCAAGGAAGAGTTGAGAGGTCGGGGACTTGCAGCCTGGAAACAGTGATCACCACATCCAGACAATCAGGCGTATTGGACAAAAATTCCTCGTGACGAATATACTATGGTTACAAGATCCAATTAACATGTTCAAAGCCACCATGGATGTTGAGTGTGAACCTAAGTATAATTTTGTCAAACAGCATCAAAAATACAAGGGCAGCTACGTAGAGCATAATACCACACTTGATAAAAACTGGTTTGGGACTGGTAAGTTACAGTATAGCCAGTCAAGCACAGAAATTAAATGTACATAATTCCAACACAGGTCCGTGATGGGATGCAAGCACAGCTCTCCAATATTGCCAGTCATATTCGATCTTGTGGTAGTACAATATTCAACTGTTTGGAGGCCGACTTGAGAACATCTGAGAGAAGGCGGGGGAAGTCCCAAGGTCAAATTGGCTGGGGGAGAAATAAGAACGGAAAACTAACCTTTAGTCTATGGAACGTGGAGGTTATCCACCTTAACTACAATGGGAAATTTGATCTCAAGACCATATTCCTAATCTAATTTTGATGGTGGTGAGTAGCCAGCAAAGTGTCTTGTGACACCGGTTCTAACAAAAAAAAACAATTAAACAAGATGATGTCTTGTATAATCTGTGGACCTGGATCAGTGCTGCCAATGGAAGAGGGGAGCATTTTCCAAGGTCCACGAAACAACAAAACATTAGATGTCAAGTGGGGCCTTGATCATGCAACACCAGGTATGATAGCATGTGCAGCAATTCTGGTAAATCAAATCCCTCATTCAATTTGTAGCTCATAACTTACCCCTCTGCTAGACTTGATGGACTATCTCCCCCGATGATCACTTAAAAGAGCGGGGATCCAATTCAGGCATCAACTGGCACAAAGATTTTGACAACTATCTTGAATACCTTCAAAGTGGTCTCAGAAGGAAGAAAGCAAGCATACTCAGCATATTTAGAGAATGGGATAAGGCCCTCTTCCCGAACACAAAGCTTGGACTTGGAGGGCGGCTGAGTGACAACAATAGAGATCAAGCAATGAAGGATGTTATGGATGCTTTGGATAATGATGCCGAGGGGGGATCACCAGCTAATGGAGATGTTGAAGCAAGCGAAGATGAACACATTATTGTATTTAGAGCAATGGTGTTACAATTTCTACTCCTTTTATGGACTACTCATTTCTCTTGACTCATCGGTTATACCATTGGACCGATGACTCATTTCCTTCACGTATGTTTCCGTTTTCTTCGCAATCTACATTACCTAGTATAGTAGTTAGCCCTCAACAGGCAAGCCTCCCCTAGATAGGACCTAACTTCTATCACCGACCTTATTTCCTATAAATACCTTTGTAACAGTAGTAGTATTTCTTCAATACAATTCTACGCAGTTTACGCTTACAAAGCTAGACTCCTAAGATCAGACTTCTACTCAGAAGAAGACCAACTCTCGTTGGAAGAACTCTACTCAGAACTACATTCTCAAAACTTGACTTCAGATAAATCTCCTAGAAACCTCGACAAACCCTCAGACTTTGTTAAGCACTTTGTGTGTAACAAAAGAATCATATTCTAACCAAAAGTCCCACCTATTTAGGTTTGGGAAGAAAAAGTTGACAAGACGTCGCAACGACCAACAACCAGATCCCAGAGAGCAAGAGGAAGCTCAGACAACCCACAAACAGCAACACCACCGATGTCATCCCAACAAGGAAGGATAGCAGCACCACCCCCCTTCCCCCAACCAGACATAACCCGACTCCACACCAGAGAACAAGCAGACACTTTCTACAAAGCCAGAACACGTTGGTTACAGTATTACGCAGAAAGCCACCCCCAGCTAATACCCACACACAACACGACCCTCCAGTAGTCGTAGAAAACATCTACGACGAGAACAACTTTGAAAAATATGCGGCAAATGGTGACCCGATACCACCTCCCACACCACAGATACTCCCCGTTGCACCTGCTCCATCCCCTATCCCACCACCACGCATTATGTCTAACGCTACAGCTTCCAAACCCACGATGATTGGGAAAATTGATGACTTCAATGGAACCCCAGATAAAGCCCAAAGGTGGATATTGTCCACCGATCTACACTTTGATATTAACGACACCATCTACAACTCCAACAAAAAAAAAAGGTATACGTAGCCCTCAGCTACATGAAGAATGGCAATGCCGCCTCATGGAGCGAAGCCAAGATGACCGAATACAAAGAGAAGAACGCCTACCCCATGTGGGCAGACTTCATGAAAACCTTCACAGCCAGTTTCAGAACGGCAAACGTCAAAGGAACGGCCTTGGCCACCTTGATGAAAATGAAAATGGAACAAGGAGAAAATGCAGTAGCATTTAACTCAAGATCCATGCTAGATGCTGGGAAGAGCGGCATCAACAACGAAGCCATGATCATGGTTTATCAAAAGGCTATCTGACCACCCCTCCTTCACGGGGCACTCACCGGAAAGGAACTACTCACCATCGAAGACTGGATGAGCACAGTGGCGAACCTAGATGCCAACTAGATCAGTGCCAACACTATCTCGGAAGGAGCATGGGGAGCCAGAAACAAAGAAAGACAGAATGACAGAAACCACAAAGGTGGACCAACCATCAGAGCTAGAAGATTGACTAAAGATGAAGAGAAATCAAGGAGGAAAGAGGGAAGTTCCTTCATATGCAATGAGAAAGAACACATAGGAAGGAATTGTAGGAACAAAGGAGAAACTCCCGAAAGAAAGGTGCGTCAAACCGAAACGGAAGATGACACCAAAACAGTGGTGGAAGAAGACAAGGTCCAAAACATCATGAGGATGTGGAGGGAGTTAGGAGAAGATCAAAGAACAGAGGCAATGAAAGAATTAGAAGACAAGGGTTTTTGAAACAACGGACTACCCCGATGTTAGTACTGTCAAAAATGGCAACTGTAACAATAGCAACGATCAATGTTAACTCTTTACAAATTGATTGCTTGTTAAAGCAGAAAACCATCGGAACCAAAGCCCTGATATATTCAGGAGCTACAGACAACTTCATAGATACAAAATTTGCCATCAGACACAGATTCCCCCTCCAAAAACTCACAAACCCTATAACGTGTAAAAATGTTGATGGAACCACAAATAAAAACGGAAGATTACACATTTTACCTATTAAAGGGTGAACACTGAAGGACAAAATAGGTTCACAAAGTTCCTATTAACCGGACTAGACGGAGAAGATGTGCTGCTAGGATTTCCCTGATACAAAAGGTTAATCCAGTCATAAACTGGAAAGACAAGAAATTACCAAACTCGGACAAACACTCAATCAGGATCAACAAAAACACAACGGAAACAAGGATCAGGACAACCATGATAGAGGAAGATGAATACAAAACCATTCATAGATACGTATCCGACCAAACACCCTACCCCCTAACCACAATCAGATTAAAGGTCAACTCGGCTATGGAACACGCGCAGATTCACGGAGAGAAAAAGGAGCATACCCTCCCAAATGAATACAAGGAATATTCAGATGTCTTCAACAAGAAGAAGTCAGAAAAACTCCCCAAACGACGGGAATATGATCATGTGCTCAACATGAAACCAGAATTTGTACCAACAGATTGCAAATTATACCCACTAGCACCCAAGGAAGACAAAGCGTTAACAGAATTCTTAACGGAAACTACAGAAAAGGATACATCAGGCCAAGCAAGTCGCCAGAAGTATCCCCCTTCTTTTTTATCGGCAAAAAAGATGGATCGCTCCGACCATGCCAAGACTACAGGAAACTAAACGCATACACCGTGAAAGACCCTTATCCACTACCCCTAATACCCGATCTCATCAAAAAAGTCAAAGGAGCCACCATATTTACAAAACTAGATCTACATTGGGGCTATAACAATGTAAAAATAAAGGAAGGGGATGAATGGAAAGCTGCATTTAAAACCAGCAAAGGAGTATTTGAACCAATGATCATGTTTTTTGGCATGTGCAACTCACCGGCAACATTCCAAAGACTGATAAACAACAAATTCAAGGATTATATTGACGAAGGGTGGATGATCATATACATGGACGACATCCTCATCTTCGACACCAATACCGAAAGGCTGCGGATCCAGACAAAGCAAGTTCTATAAAGACTACGCGATAACGACCTGTTTCTCAAAAATACACCTTTGAGGCAGAAACCATTGAATACTTGGAAATGATAGTTTCCCACAACCAGGTATCCATGGACCCAGCCAAACTCGCTGGGATCCGCGATTGGCCAATCCCAAAGGACCCCAAAGGCGTAAGGAAGTTCTTAGGTTACGGAAACTTCTACAGAAAGTTTATCGGTCATTACGCTGACCTTGCCAGACCCTTGAATGCCTTACTAGAAAAGGATAGGAAGTGGAACTGGACCCAAACTGAAGACAACGCCTTCAAATTGATGAAACAAAAATTCCTCGAATCCCCCGTAACACAAATTCCCGACTCCTTGAAACCATTGAAGATTGCTGCAGATGTTATGATAACACAATTTTTGGACCTTCCCTTTACTTTTATTTCTCCGCTTTAACCTTATACTTTAGCTTTTACACATGGTGCCATGCGGCACTTCCCCTTTTGTCCAAACTCCTCTTTCTAGCGCTGCGTTGCCTTTCTTCTTATTACAGACTCAACTCTCTCACACAGTGAAGCTGGCCATGCAGGCTAGGCCCCATGACATCATCAGCCACTGTCGCTATCAACTGTATAGTACACATGTACAAATAACCCTGTAGTAGTATATATACACCAATAGATCCAGGAGACTCCTCAGCGAGTCCTCCTGTTGTATACCAACTAACTCTCTGCATCCTAAGGGGTAACCACTCCCTCTTCCTTCTCTTTATAGTGTGTTCCTGTGTGCGCCGGAGTAACTAACTCTTGGTTGTTACATTAGGACTCGCTCTTCTACTCTCTCGCACGTTTGTGCAAAAAGTCCCATTGGGCACCCAGACTCCAGGGTGAAGGAGATTGGTTTATTGATTGGGAATATCCCGCATAGCAGATAGGTGCGCTCTTTGTGACAGCCTTGTAGTGCTTTTGGAGAAGAACCAAAACCTTCAATACGTGGCCCCCAGCGTTAAGGGGAGTACTTAGCTCAGCAGTCGGTGTGGAACCGCTGTTGATTAGAATTAAATACAAAACTTCAATTTCTCTTTCCTCTGACCAGGCCGGGCACTTGCCTCTGCCAGTTGGAGAAGGGTTGACAGCTTAACAAGCGGACCACCCCCTGACAACCGTTCGGACCAGGGTTTCTTACAAATACTTTTTATATAAACTTTCAAACACTATAGTGTGGGTAGTCGGAGATTGAGATCTGATACTCAGCTGGGAAGAGGTAGATCCGCAAATAGCAAGCGGGGACCCCCAGTTACGTTTTTATTACTTTACAAAGAGAACAAGTCAACATGTTATCGCAACAAGATATGAACAGTCTGCTGCATGCCATGCATGCACAGATTGCTACGTTAACCTCGCAACTCGCCAAGCTGCAGAACAACCCCCCTGCAGCAACCCCCTCGGTAGAGAAAAAGTTCAACAAGAAAGTCGAAGTTGTCGCTGACCCTGGCGCCTTCAAAGGAGACAGAGCATGATTTGCCGAATGGTGGATCAAGCTCCAAATTTGGGTCAAGGCAAACTGGGACGCGTTTGCCGACGATTTTGAGGTAGCCACTGCGGTGCTATCTCGACTAAAAGGACCTGTGGCGGGTCAATACGCCCAAGTAAGATTGCAGGAATGCTACACCGCGGGAGTGTGGCCAACCTGGGATGATCTCAAGAAGGAGATCAAAAAATACTTCAAACCACAAGCTGAGCATGACTGGGCGCGTCAGCAAATCCGTTCCTTCAAACAAGGAAACATGAGGACAAATGATTACGTTACCAGGTTCCTGGCCCTTTCCATCCAAGGAGGGCTTGGAAATGAACACGCAGTAGAACTGCTGGAACGCAATATGAACCCTCGCATTGCAGAACAAATCTATCTGCAAGACACTAGAAACGAGAACTTGTCCCTAGCGGCCGAGGAAGTACATCGAGTCGGTAGAGCCATGGAGCTTTACCAGATGCATCAAGGTGGCGGGTCCACCACCAAAAACAACGAATCCCAGAGGCGCCCTGGGTTATCAAACCAAAAACAACAACACTCTCATGGGTTCCAGCCATTTGGGCTGCAACCAGGTTGGGGTGTCCCTATGGATATTGGCGTGGTCCAGGGCGGACAGACGCGCAGATTCACCTGGTACAACTGTGGGCAGGAGGGGCACATAGCCCGAAAGTGTCCAAATGGAGTGCAGGCCGCTCAACAAAAAAATAATCAAGGGTGCCAGGCGCGCCAACTAGAGTCCGAGAAACCAGACAATCGGCTCCAGACTCTGGCCGGTCGTTTGTACGACAAAATCCGGGCCATCTTCTACAACCAGCAGGTTGCTGAGATGAAGACCCAGGGAAAAGAGTTCGGAGCTTAGGTCACTTGGGTGCCTTTGCTCCTACGGACAATGAAGTAAACCACAACAAGGTGGCCCCTGCTCCGGGGTGTTGCACGAGCAATAAAGGAAAGATGGGGATGGCTCCCCAATTTGTAAATAGATTCTTAAATTTATTATCAGAAGTATGTACTTGTATGAAGCAATGTGACTGTAACATAAATGATACTACCGCTGCACCGGCGTCTCCCTTGGAGCATGGCCCCGGCGAGACAAACACTAGGGTGCTTGATTCTGATAAAAATAAAATAGAAAAACATGTAACTTTCGATACCCTTCCTTCTTCTTTGGAGCCACCCTTTCCCAAAATCCCAAGGCGTGTGTTGATGTGCACATATTTATTCCAAAAGGAGATCCGTTTAGACATTGGTGTGGAAAACCTTGTCCGGGGCATAGTACACCCAACCAGCGCACTGCTTGATTCAGGCGCTAACGGAATCTTCATAGATCAGGTCTGGGCGGAGCAAATTGGACTCCCCCTTGTAAAATTAGATGTATCTATTCCCGTCTATAACGTTGACGGTACGCTTAACGCGGGTAGCTGCATCACGCACAAATGACACAGAGAACGAGTCACCGCCAAAGCTACCCAACTAGGGAAGATTAATTTAATCTTAGGCTGGACCTGGCTATTTATACACAATCCTGAGATCGACTGGCAGACAGGGGTTGTCACATTGTCACGTTGCCCTCAGGAATGTGTAAATTTGGGTAAACCAAATCATGTCCGTCACAACGAATGTCTTGAGAAGATAAACGCTGAAAACATTCATGAGCTCAGACCTTTAGAAAAGATCAACGATGACGATAATGAGGTGAAACCCGAAGAAGAGATTAAGAGGCTGGTACCTCCCGAGTACCATGACTTCTGGAAAGTCTTTTCAAAACATAAATCAGAGTGCTTCCCAGAGGCTAAGCCTTGGGACCATGCTATAGATTTGAAGGACACTTTCAAACCGAGAAAAGGACACATGATACCACTCTCTGCTCCAGAAAGAGATGAGGTATCAAGTTTCATAGACGAACAGCTTAGGAAGGGTTACATCAGACCTTCCAAAAGCCCTATGACGTCCCCGGTGTTCTTTATTCCTAAAAAGGATGGAAAGAAGTGTATGATTATGGACTATTGTTACGTGAATGATCACACAGTTAAAAATGTGTATCCGCTGCCTTTGATCAGTCAGCTAGTAGACAAATTGGCTGGCGCCAAAATCTTGACAAAAATGGATCTCAGATGGGGGTACAATAATGTACAAATCAAAGAGACAGATGCTTGGAAGGCCACATTCACGTGCCACCGAGGATCCTTTGAACCCCTCGTTATGTTCTTTGGGTTGACCAATTCACCGGCGACCTTCCAGAGCATGATAAACGAGATCTTTGCAGATATGGAGAACTGTGTCGTCATTTACATTGACAATTTGTTAATATTTACGAAGTTGGACGATGAGGCTGAGCATGACAGGATCGTGCAAGAAGTCCTTCGACGCTTACAGGAACGGGACCTATTCATCAAACCCAAAAAATGTAATTTCAAAGTGAAGGAAGTAGACTTCCTTGGTATGATCATAGGCCAGAATGGAATCAGGATGGATCCTGAGAAAGTTCAAGCTATATTAGATTGGCCAGAACCTACTCGTGTCAAGGGAGTTAGGGCCTTCCTTGGCTTAGGGAATTTCTACCGAAGGTTCATCGAAAACTTCGCGAAAATCACGAGACCGTTGAACGATCTCACCAAAAAGGACATCGTTTGGCACTAGGGCACCAAAGAAAAGAAGCTTTTGATAAGCTTAAACAAGCGTTTACAATGGTGCCCATATTAGCATTTCCAGAATTAGACAAAGAGTGCCGGCTAGAAACCGACTCTTCAGATTTTGCTACTGGGGCTGTTTTGTCAATTAAATGCCCTGACGATCTTTGGAGGCCTTGTGCCTATTTATCGCATAGTTTGTTGCCTACAGAGCGCAACTATCAAATATACGATAAGGAGATGCTGGCCATCATTAGAGCTCTAGAGCACTGGTGGCACTACTTAGAAGGTGCTAGACACCAATTTGAAATCTGGACCGATCATAAGAATCTGGAGTATTTTATGACGGCCCAAGACTTGAACCAAAGACAGGCTCGCTATGCGGTGTACTTGTCAAGGTTTAATTATAAATTGATTCATAAGCCTGGAAGCTCCATGGGGAAAGCACATGCTTTGTCCAGAAGAGAGGATCATGCCAACAGCATCAAAGATGATAACAAAGGTGTCACCCTGATAGACCAATCAAGGGTTGCCAATGTTAGAATCGGGCAGGATTCCGATCTTCTGGAAGTCTTCAAGAAAGACATTTCCTCAGAAGAGAAGGCGCGCCTTGATGGCAATGAAAACTATTTATGGGAAGATGGGATCTTCCATTTTAAAGACAAAATCTATGTGCCTGAGTCCGCAACGATCAAGGCAATAGATAGACATCACAACACTCCAGTGGCTGGGCACCCTGGGTGGCAACGAACAATGGAATTGATCTCCAGAAACTACATGTGGCCTGGCATGGTCAAAGACATACAGGAATATGTAAAATCCCGTTTGAGATGTGCCATGGCAAAGAATTCTCATCAACTGCTGGCCAGTAAACTTATGCCAAATCTGATACTAGCTGGTCCTTGGCAGGATATATCGGTGGACTTCACGACGGATCTGCCCGAGTCAAACGGGTATGATTCAGTAATGGTGGTAGTAGACCGCTTCTCCCAAGAAGTAGTATTCATACCTACCAATAAAACCATTACCGCCGCCGGGACGGCAGATTTATTTAAAGATTTTGTATGGTCTATCCATGGGTTACCAGAAACGGTTATCTCTGATAGAGGACCACAATTCACTAGCAAATTTACGAAAGAATTATGCAAGATGCTGGGCATCAAACCTAAATTATCAACAGTGTTCCATCTGCAGACTGATGGACAAATGGAGAGACTCAACCAGGAGTTGAAACAATATCTCCGGATATTTATTAATGACAGACAGACGGATTGGGCCAAGTGGCTAAAGATAGCCCAGTTCTCGTATAATATCAAACAGTTGTCGGCTACAGGAAAGGCACCATTCGAGGTTACTAGATCATACCTCCCCAGAATGGGTGTAGAACCTGACAAAAGCAAGAACGAGGCTGCTGGGAACATGGCAAAAGACATGAAGTCTGTCTTGGATGAAACACGCAAGGCGCTATTTAAAACTGCAGAGCAGATGAAAGACAGGGCAGAGTGTAGACGCTCCAAGGCCCCCAACTACAAGATCGGCAACCTGGTTTGGTTAGATACCGACCACTTAAAATTAAAGGATTGGCATTCTAGAAAACTGACCAAAAAGTGGTTTGGCCCTTGCTGGATTAAGGAAGTCAAACCCAACGCGGTGGAGCTGGAACTCCCAAAATAAATGAGGGTAGTATCCATGGTCAATGTTAGCCATGTGAAACCCTACAAAGGGCCACTGCCGGGACAGCATGTAGACCGGCCCGGACCGGTGGTAGTCACCCAGGAAGGTGAAGAAAAGTTCGAAGTCGAACGGGTGGTGGATGCACGCTTGAAGCGTGGTAAATTAGAATTCCTAGTCCTATGGAAGGGCTATGGAGACGAGGACAGAACATGGGAACCAGAAGCCCATCTGGACAATTCCCGCAACACTGTTCGCGAATTTTATTCTAAGAATCCCTCAGCTCCGAGGAAGCTTAGAGGCATGGATTCAAATCTTTTTAATTCTCTTTTTCAACCTATGCCCGAAAATTTTACCACTACCTCCGGTATTTGGTCTCGCCTGGAAGTCGAGCCTTAGCAGGGGGGTAGTGTTACAATAACACAATTTTTGGACCTTCCTTTTACTTTTATTTCTCCGCTTTAACCTTATACTTTAGCTTTTACACATGGTGCCACACGGCACTTCCCTTTTTGTCCAAACTCCTCTTTCTAGCGCTGCGTTGCCTTTCTTCTTATTACAGACTCAACTCTCTCACACAGTGAAGCTGGCCATGCAGGCTAGGCCCCATAACATCATCAGCCACTGTCGCTATCAACTGTATAGTACACATGTACAAATAACCCTGTAGTAGTATATATACACCAATAGATCCAGGAGACTCCTCAGCGAGTCCTCCTGTTGTATACCAACTAACTCTCTGCATCCTAAGGGGTAACCACTCCCTCTTCCTTCTCTTTATAGTGTGTTCCTGTGTGCGCCGGAGTAACTAACTCTTGGTTGTTACAGCAGATGCCAGCAAACACGCCACAGGAGCAGTATTAATGCAACCCGACGACCAAGGACAATGGCACCCATGTGCATTTTTCTCCAAAACTCTATCCCCCGCTGAAAAGAACTACCAGATCTACGACAAAAAATTATTAGCGGTAATGAGAGCATTAAAAGAGTGGAAACACTTACTTTTGGGAAGCCCCCACACAATCCAAATCCTAACGGATCACAAGAACCTGACGTACTGGCAAGAAGCCAGAAAACTCACACCACGACAGAGAAGATGGCAGCTGGAACTGTCACAATACAATTATACCTTGGAGCACGTACCAGGAACCCACATGGTGGTACCCAACGCACTCTCAAGAAGACCTGATTTATATGTCAAAAACAAAGAAGATGACGATGAAACACCAATGATACCCGCCTCGGCATTCCTGTATCACACACAAACAATCAAAGACACAATCAAGCAAGCCATGCTCACAAACGATAATTATCCAGGAAGAACAAAGAAAGACAATTGGAGAAAGGAAGAAGGATAGTTCTTTTATCAGAATAAATTACTGATTGGCAAAGTAGAAGAACAAAAGACGATCATCAAGGATCACCACAATTCCCTGTCCACAGGACACCCAGGAAAGCTCAAGACCTACCAGTTGATCAAAAAGGCCTATAGGTGGCCAGGAATGATGAAACAAGTGGAAGACTATGTGAAAGGATGCGCAACTTGTCAACAAGCAAAAGTAAACACGCATCCCACCACTGTACCATTAATCCCAAACCAGACCCCAAAAACCACAGAACCAATGAAGTACCTATCCATAGACTTCATAACAGATTTACCAGAATCTTCGAGATACGACAGTATAATGGCCGTGGTAGACCCAGGACTTAGTAAGGGGGTAATCCTCTCACCTTGTCATAAAACCATTGACGTGCTCAAAAACGCACAAATCTTTCACAATTCCATCTTCAAACAATTCGGATTGCACGATAAACTCATATCCGACAGAGGACCACAGTTCGCCTCTGAAGTATCCAAAGAACTCCACAAACTCCTGAACATTGAAACCGCACTCTCCTCTGTGTATCATCCCCAGACAGATGGATAGACAGAACAATCCAATCAAGAACTGGTGCAGAGACCAACACTCACGGCCCGAATTTTATCCAACCACCACCTGACCTTGTCAACAAAGAAGAAGAATACAAAGTAGAAAGTATTCTTAGACACAAACCCTGGAAACGCGGGCACCACTACCTGATCAAATGGCACCATTACCCTCATTCCGAAAACTCATGGGAGCCAGCAGAACATTTAACCAATGCTGCGGAGATACTGGAAGCATATAAGAAGGACCACAGACTGCATTGAAGAGACATTCACCCCACCACCACCAATCCTCTGTCTCTCAACACAGACATGTCTACCTCCAACTCTACTGGCTTCCCTGTCACCACCTATTCCGTACCCGGCGAAGCCAACATGCTAGCCAACAACCGAGTGTCCTTCCCCCATGGGCAACAACACAACCAAGCCAACGTCTCTGACGCCATAGAACTAATGTCAGCCAAAGATGCCTACATTTATTTATTCTACAAAACAGAAAAACGCTACCCCCACGCATACCATGCTCTTTCCTCCATGCATACCTTCCTTGCTGTTGACCTCGTAGCTGACAAACAACTAAAAGCCATAGACTCACTACATTCGTTGGAAAGCGAGCATTCGTGGCTCAACAATCAGGACTTGAGTATCTGTCAGGCACTCCGGATGGAAAAATGAGTTTTGGAATCTTTGGAACGACGCTTGAGGATGAGCTCCTTGAGTGGGCAAATGGACGCGGCAAAGGCATATTTGGAATTAGGCGGGAGGACCTTGCTAACAGAAGCGCGCACACGGATAGAGCAAGACAGTTGTATGAGTATTCCTCCACCCGGTTTGTCCCGCCAGTCCCTATCATACCCCAAGCAGACCAGTGCTACCCCCAAGCTCACTTACCACATCGTCGCCCAACAACCTCCGTCCACCCTGTCAGCAGAAGAATACATTCCCACCGTCCCAACCAGCCCAATCTTGCAAGGGTCGAGCCCCTCCAGTCCCCGTTCCATTGGGTCGAACCCAAAACCACCGACATCCCAGTCACCTCCACCTCGACCAGTGCCAAACGGCCTAACCCGTTGTTGTCTGACAAACTGACGAGGAGCCCGACGTGGCCAGCAAGAAGTGATACTCCAGATCCCTGCCACAATCAATGTAGATGATGCCGATATGATCAACCAGTTGTATGCAGGAACATACGACCTGGGAGATGACAATCCCCCCACTCCCCAATCCGACACTTTGTCTAACACTAGACAAAAATACCACCAAGATGTTCACAATAATGCTCCCTACTGCCAACGCTGCGGTTGGAGCGATCATTGCACATACTACTGCAAAGCCTATTACTGCCCCAATTGTGACCGTCATGCACCGGGACATAGTTTCAATTGGTGTCCTATTCGTATGGAAAACAAAGATAGGGTTCTAATGGAGGGATTACATGGAGACGTCAGCTATGACGATAGTTACAACATGGATGGTGAAGGCACCAAATTTTGGTGAAACTCGAAGCAAGTAAGGGGGTAATGGTTATAATTTCTACTCCTTTTATGGACTACTCATTTCTTTTTACTCATTGGTTATACCATCGGACCGATGACTCATTTCCTTCACGTACATTTCTGTTTTCTCCGCAACCTACATTACCTAGTATAGTAGTTAGCCCTCAACAGGCAAGCCTCCCCTAGATAGGACCTAACTCCTATCACCGATCTTATTTCCTATAAATACCTTTGTAACGGTAGTAGTATCTCTTCAATACAATTCTACGCAGTTTACGCTTACAAAGCTAGACTCCTAAGATCAGACTTCTACTCAGAAGAAGACCAACTCTCATTGGAAGAACTTTACTCAGAACTACATTCTCAAAACTTGACTTCAGATAAATTTCCTAGAAACCTCGACAAACCCTCAGACTTTGTTAAGCACTTTGTGCGTAACAAATGGGGGATGATGATCAAGGCAATGGTTATCATAGTAGTGTGGCAGAAGAGAGGTCCTGAGGGGACAGAGTGGACTCAGCAGTCTTGTCGGATATGGACATGGGCCAGTTCAGACACCGTACATAAATATTGATGCAATCATGTTCAATTCAGGATGTACTGTCTGAAAATAGATGCTCTGCAATACTTCCCATTATTAAGCACTGATAGAATGGCCGCCTGGACTGAGCACATGTCCACTGATTTTAGGCTGCCACTTTTGGATCCGGAATCTTCATCCAAGTCAGTGCTCAACCCAATATACCCTTATCATCAACAATACTATCATACCGCCTTTGACTCTCAGGTCAGGTCACAAACAGTCAAAGTAATGCAGCATTTATTGCTCATGGTGATACAACATTCAAATTCAAGGATCAAGTTTTGTCAATTGCACGGCTCACATCTTGTATATTTACTGTCATAATGTAAGTCTCTCCTTTGCTGTTCCAATATCACTTGACTTATGACATACAAACTCTAATATTTGGCACACAGCATATATAAATCCAGCTTCCCGAGCTCAAAACCACTTGCATACACTCCTTCCTCTCACCCAACCACCATCCTGTTAAAATAATCATCTCCATCAACAGTCTTATTATCAAGACCACCGCATATGGTACATTATCTTTCTTTGCCAGCCTTGATGAAGATAGCTCACTCACTCTTCCTTGAGGTTTATCCATAACATTTACTTGCCATTTCCCTAGACCTTGGTCCTCTGTGTAAAGCTTTACCATGCCTGATAGCTCACTCACTCTTCTTTGAGGTTTATCCATAACATTTACTTGCCATTTCCCTAGACCTTGGTCCTCTGTGTAAAGCTTTACCATGCCCGTCAGCTTTGATACTGCTGGATGTAGCTTGATGAGGGAGATTAATAGACTTCAAAGAAGAGTGCCTTGCAGAAGGTAAGTCATCAACATCCATTGCTGTATCTCTCGTATTCTCATCAGCAAAACCACCATTGTTTCTGTTTCTGGTCCCAGGTGCAGTCAGAGAACTTCGAGCAATATAGAGACCATAATCAGCGGAAACCGTCTCTCGCTGGTAGTAGCTGAGTACTCCGGGGGCCTGAAGGAGGACTCGTGTCATTCTGTACAAATTGTATCTCACTGATGATGAAAATAAATGATCATTTCTATTTGTATTTGAGATACATGATTATCAATGCAAACATGAAAAGTTTTATTATGCTGCAATAATAAAATAATCTTGGAGTCTGATATCAAGCTATATGACCAATTTTAGCGTGAGAGACTGAGAAGCGTGATATGACCATGTCAGAAGTTGCATTGAAGGATTTTTATGAAAAGTCCATATTTCCATGGTTGTCCGGAACAAAGCCATTGGGCGGATCATGCATATTTGATCAGAGCAGTCGGGCAAGGCTAACCATCCTGATAACTGTAATCCAACCCAATTTGTGCAAAACTTCATTATTTTCAGGCCTGATAAGGCCTCTGTGCAGTGTGTTGCACATTACTAGGGCCACAATTTCCTTACAACCTTATTTGGCCCTATCAGGACTGAAATGCTAGAATGCATTTTTCTGACAAGTAAATAGATACATAGTCCCAAAAAGCAGACTACAAAGGTGGCAGGTTCTTATCACTAGAGTATTTGCGGCCACGGAGCTCACAGGATGGAACTGGTGGTGCAGGCAAACAAGCATGTATGGGTTTGGGAGTGTCATCAGCAAATCAAACTACTTTATATAGCGGCTTATATGATACTATTGGTGCGAGCAGTTGTTGGAGAAATTTGTTTTCCCATGTAAGGCCTCAAAAGGCTAGTTTATGCAGTTAGGCTTCGATCCTATGATAACAGTCAAAATGTTGCGACAAGGCCTTGTAAGCCATCATCAGATCACACCTGAGTATTATTGTCCCAGTTATATGGCGCTATGTATGTCACTCTTGAGGCTATATATGCCTAACTAGCATAAACATAATAGCACCTGTGTGTTGTTGAGATCATGATTAATACACGCACAACATCAATCAACAGTATTACTCACTATTTCAGAATGACTTAGGTTCTACAAAGAAAGCCTGAGGATATCTGAGTCAGCGGCTATTTGAGCATGAGGAGTACAACTTAAGACTTACTGGATGGATATTCAGGAAGCCTTAAATCACAGTGACACTACAGTAGTTGGGTTTTTGTTGGGCTTGTTTGGACATCTCTGTCAGGGAGGAAACGGACATGATGATGCAGAGGATGAAAACACGCAACAATGTGCCATTATATGTATGATGTGGCACCTTGTGGAGTACCCCACAACATCACATAGGAGACTTGGGTCTGGATCTAGGCTTGGACCATCTAAAAAGAGAATCAAGCCACATGGTTTGATTATCATTCGGCTTATCATTCATCAAATCTTGAATTCATTATCTGGTGTCTGCCAAACCTAATGATTATTTTGTTCAACATTGTATGAGATATTTCAGACTTTCCCCTCCTTTTGGCTCCCTCCTAGACCAAACTCGATATTATTGTCACCATATTGCCAACCTGGTACATCTTCCCCATTAATCCCATCATCACCAGGACCTCTGTCATCTCGCTCTTCATTATCCAGAGGCAGCTCTTCAGTGTCTTTGTTTAAAGCACCCATTACTTCCTGCATTTCTTCAGACCAGTCTTCATCATCTTATTGGCCTCCAAGACCACTTTTGGTGTTCGGGAACAGCACCTTATCCCACTCACAGAAAATTGTGAGCACGCTGGCTTTTGTCTTTATTAAGCCACTTTGAAGATACTGTAAGTAATTGTCAAAATCTTTGTGCTAGTGTATTCCAAATTGGGTTCCTCGTTCCTTCAAAGGTTTGTCGGGGGAAAGTACCCATCAAGCCTACCAACAATTAGTTAGCAGCCCAATATTTATTTAGCATTTAACTTACCAAAACAGCAGCAGATGCTATCATTCCTGGAGTTGTATGTTGGAGGCCCCATTTAACATCCAATGTCTCAGTGCTTTGTGCTCCATCATAAGGTGTCCTTTCTTTTGTTGAAAATATTGAACCAGGTCCTCGGACAATGCAGGATATCACCTGGACACATTTTAGCTATAATAATGTCAATCTACAGGATACGGCTTACTCACCACCTTCAAGAGTGGATTCAGAAATACCTTATTGATGTCAAACTTCCCACAATAATTCACATAGAGAATCTCAACATCCCACAAGCTAAAATATAAGTTCCCTTTTTTATTCATCCGCCAACCAATCTTCTCAATAAATTGTTTTCGCCTTGCTGCCAATGTCTTCAGGTTAGCCTCTGAGCAATCAAAGATTGCACCACCACAAGCCTGGAGATGACTGGCACTATTTTATTGTTGTGCTTGCATCCCATCACAGAACTGAGTAAGTGTTGTTGAGTCCTGGTTCTGTTTTGAGCACCAGGATAATGAAATTACATACTGCAGAGATGAACCAGTCCTGGCTTATGATTCCAATCTGTTATAACGTCAAAACCAAACCACATCAAAACAAATTCGTTTAGCAGGACAAAGAGAATCTCCAATAACCCTTGGTGCCAATACTGCAAGATGTTTAGGAGCTCACGCCGATTTGACAAGCACTTAGAAGCTTGTAAACGTCATCACAACAAGCTTGCAGAGGCTTCATCCTCTCAAGGCAACGGCTTATACTTTAAGGATGATTGTATGGCTCCCCAAAAATGGCACAAAATAGACACAAAGATATGCACAATATATCCTCTACTAGTTTTAGACTAATTTACCTTCAAATACCTTGTAGCCCAGTCCCGAAGTTGATTCTAACTCAAACACCAAAGACCACTTCAATATGGATTTGGTGCTCAGTTCTGAGTCATCACCAACAATCCAGGAATCTGCAACAGATCACGAAACAGAAAATGAATACCCCTCAAGCTTTATTCAGGTTACACCCTCACAGTAGCATCAACAAACCAACCATTATTTTCTTGGATGCATCAGCTAACCACAGCAGATCTGATGTCTGTCACTGGAATGACAAACTGTGGGCCCCATTCAGAACCCGTTCAGACTTTGAGTATGCCTAAAGTACTGTGAAAGGGCTATTCAGCAAGGAGATTGTTAATTCTCAGTTATGCGGAATGCACAATGGGTGGGCATGGGAAACTACCATTATATTACAAAACAATATTGACCTTGAAAAGAGCTTGGCACTTGTGTCCTCAGGTGAGCTTATTCTTATTCACCTGAACATCATTCTAATGCTAAATTGTAACATAGTTTAAAGAAGTGCGCATCTCTGCCGAATACTTAGGCGAGACATTCCAATTCAGCTTTATCAGGAAAAATGGGGGTAGCTATATAGAGCACTATAAGTAGTCATAAAGCTGTTATAGTGGTCAAACCTGTTATAGAATCTCTGCCATCTATAGAGCCTCATATAGCTCTATAAATGCTCTTATAGATGTTGGAAATTGTTGTGTGGCTGATTGAAAAAAATTAACACAGACAGGATTTGAACTCTCAACCTGCTAGTCAGCTCTTGGGTGACTAAGTAACCTACAGGCACACATCACATTTATCCACTACACCATGAAAACTTATAAAATGTATTGTACAGGTGTTATATATTGATCTTTTATGGACTTAGATTATTTTTTTACTCATTGTCACTACTTATATTTGGATAAATCATTATTCTTATTTTGTGAGTATCAGGGATACAAACTACTATTTCACTAATACAGGCTACATAATTAATTAATACTGGATGATTTATTAGCCCTTTTAAGCACCTTGAACTATATTATAACTATGACCTTTACAGCTATAGGAGCTATGTAGGCTGCTATAGGCTATAAGAGCACTTATAGTATCTTGCCTATAATAATATACTTGACTCCAAACACTTTTGGCCTTTTTCTATTATTGAACAAGTTTATTAGATTAATCCAGAGTTTGAGGGAATTATAGATACTTCTTCCCTTGGTTAAAATTTTGCCTACTACTGTGCTATAAGAGCTATAAAAGCTATAATTGCACTGATAGTACTATAGTTTCTATGAATGCATTTATATATATAGGTGGTGGCTATATAGCAAAAGGGTTTTTCCTGATGTTTGTGTACCGTGACCCTTGAGAGGTATACTGTGACTGGATCACTGATAGTAGTCTCGCACCCAAGATCTTTTGGTACCCCAACAAGAAATTCTTTTGTAAGCGTAATGGCTGGGTGGTCCTCAAAACAAGAATTTATGTTGAGTTCAGCACTGGTGACAGATGGTGGAATATACAGGTTTGTTTTTGTATATTACATGTGCGTTCCTTACTTTTTTCTTTCAGGATCAACTCCCCAAGAACAATATTCCCCACTGTTTCCTTCCCATTTCCCTTTGGCTCGACAAAGGCAATGTCACAAAATGAGTACAAAAGCACCCAATTATTATCCGCCCAATGTTCTTACCACGCAAAATACGGAATGCTTCAGGTAATGGAGGGAGTGTCCTCATTGATTTCATGCCTGTGGTAATTTATTTCTTACTGTTTCACACAAAGACCTCTCTTTATTTTGCTATAGCCTGCAGACCCCGCAGACTCATCTGATCGCAATGTGGCTGAGACACTAGAATGGGCCTGTTTCAAGCAAAAAGTCTATCACAAGGTCCTTGGTGTTGTATTCAAGACTGTACAAAAACAAGCACATTATGGGGAGGCAATAAAGTGCAGTGATAAGTGTGATAGATCAGTACACACTGGAGTGCCAGTTAAATCCCTTGACAGAGAGGAAAGTTGTGCAGTTACAGCAACATGTATCACTTTAGCTAGTTACCCCTGCACAAAATGCTTGGTTCACCATGACAAGCTACACAATACCAATGGCACATTTGAGGCTCATATTGCCAAGGCCATGCAACAAGCATATATTGCTTCCACTCAAGCAGGTAATAAGAGCAAAGCTGAGAAAAATTTGCAAGGCCAAGGAGGCAAGCCTATGTTCTGTGGTATTCTCTACTATTAGCACCATTGATAACAAACCCCAATTTCATAGAATTTGTTTTGGTCTATGCATCACTCAGATCTGTATCTTGCTGTTTCATATGATAAACTCCATTTGGACAACTTAGGAAAGTGGGGAAAACATCTTTGGCCCCTACAGCTTGGTGTCTTAGCCAAAGATGGGAACAAAGGCTAATTAGCAATAAAGTAGGTCTTTTCATAGCTTTACTTGACTAACATCACTCAGGAGACTTCAATGGTAGCATGCGGGATGCTTCCCATTGGCACAACCTCAAACATTTCACAAATGTCACCACAGTTGATTATGCAGACAGCCAAGTTTTCTTTGACATATCAAAGGTATGAGCTTTTCACTACACTAGCCTTTGAAGGTGGTTACATTTTTTTTCATACTGTAGTATATATTTCCTTGTGTCATCCAGCTTCTGCCTGAAGACTGTTCACTGGTGCATTGTATCCGGGCCTATGCTCAATATCAGACAATGATAGGACTACACTGTTTGACAGATGAGCAGCTACAGCAGATAGATAGCATTATACTGGATTACAAGAATGCTTGCAAGGTAAAAAGCATTGGACCACTCTTCATATCCAAAGTTTTGTCGCTATCTGCATTGATAAACTTTTACTGATTTGTTTCAAAACATTATGAGAAATCATTCAATTTCTACAAGCAACACTTTGTCAACCATGTCATCAAAGATATCCAACAAAAGGGCACCACCGATAACTATGAAACAGGGATAGGTGAAGGAATTCACCAGGAGATTTGGCAGCCATACAAGCAAACATATTGTAAGAATGCAGATCCACAGGTATGTGCCCCACTTAAACTATGCCATGATGAACATCCTACAACCGTTAAACTACAGATGGCCCGAATAGACAAGAACCAGGAAGCAATTGCATACATACAAATGCTGTTGACGAGCATGACAAGGCCTGCCAACAGCAAGATGCCAATTCAGAGGGACCTGATTCAGAAAACAAACACAACAGAGAGTGCACAATAGAGAGGACAGGATATAGTTCAAAGAACATTGACTTACACTGGACACTTGGCTCTCCAACAAGCCTGAGTGACTCGAGAGCAATGATGATCAGTCAAATGCATTCAAGTTTTGACAGATCTCTCTGGAGATTTTTTTCTACAAATGTTTCAGAAGCCAGTCTTGGCGATAAACCTATTAATGTATGTTGTTGCTTTACATTCACTTATGCTGATGCTAATATCACTTGATAGATTCGAGAATACCACTGCCTATACCTCCGGTATCAGTCACAAGAGGACTGCACTGAAGGCCACAACATCCTGAGGTGCAACCCGCAATTTAATGGAGTAGCTTGTTGTGACTGTATCCTCATAAACACACAGACACCAAAGCCTAGGCCAGCTCAACTTTTGGGGATATTTAGGTGCTATCTCAGGTCCGAAACATATGACATTGCACTTGTCAACTACTTCAAGTCTTCCACTGGGAAGCCCAGAACAAGGTGGGCTGGTGCTCAACTTTATGAGGAGAATAAAGAGAGCCATTTTGTGTTGGTCAAGTACTTCATTTGTGGAGCGCATATGATCAAAGTGTTTGGTATGAAGGAGGACCTATTTCCTGAACAATATTATTGATGGGGATATGTTCTTACGGTTTCAATTCTGATTCTTCTCATTACGCTTGTACTGGTCACTGAATAGAATGATGTTCACGTTTACTACTGAGTACAAAGCTTTATTGAAAGACCTGATTTATATGGCCTTGTGGTCCCTTGAGTAGCCTTGCAGCGCATCCTTATCTTTCAAGTAAGGCCTAATCAGGTATGATCATGGTATATTTATTTTTAGCATGATCTTATACAGTCTAATATACTCTGATAATCCCTTATTCATTCCTTTTGCGTTCTGACAAGGTAGTCAGGCTGTGCCATGCTTGCGCCAGATTCCAACAGTCCTGACAAGGTAAATGGGATTTTTACGACAGTAACCACAATCTAAATAACAATTTTGGGCAATACTCTAATGCATTACAAGACATTGGGAAGGAGCATGTGATTTCCTTTCCATATTGTGATGCCTGTTCCTTGGTAATTGCCGCACACTGTAAGAACCATTTTATTATTTTCCTATCTTCGCTATGTCTTGGTTCTCGAACGCCTTTCCCGTCACACCTCTGGCTCTAGGGCTAGAGGTATCATTTGCCGTTTTACTTCTCATAGCCCTCACAGGCTTTCTTAACCATCGCTACCATTTTATATCACAGATCAGAGACTGGGTATCGCTCCCGACCAGCCAGCACACTGGGTAGGGACTGGTAGTAGGCATCTCGCCAACCAGCTCCAAGCCCCAGTAAAGCCTGGATACACTAATAAACGCCTTATTCAGGATCGTACCTCATCTTGAGGATACGGTTCCTGAACACGCGTAACAAACCTCTATTATTAGTACAAATCTTTCACCGCTGATTAATCAAGTTAAAAGTTGTACAATAGTTGTTCTCCCTTTTTCTTATTGGCCGATTGATTCCTCAGACCACTTTTCGTATATTCTCCTTTCGGTCTGAGGAACAAACAGTTCACTATATAAAGCCTTACCTATTCATGTATGGCTCCTTAGTTTTCTATTACTGAATTTACCCGCTTTACTCCTCAACAAGAACCTTTGAAGCTTACCTCTCAAAGTCCTCTACTCGCTATATTTACTAGCGTCTGTCGACCTCAAGCTCATCGAACCCCTTACTCTCTGCAAGTGCAGAAGGAGACAGGTTTCGTTTTTGTTATAGTTTATCGTTGCCTCACACACACCATATGGTCACTTGGACAGAGCTGCCGTTTCCTGACACTTTTTTGCAGACCTCTTTTCTATTGCAACTTTTCCTTAACTTTATAAGGCCAACCATGTTCCAATATTTTGACAAATTATGACATTTGTTTATAGTATGAGAAAACATGCATTGGCCAGGGCTTGAACCTGGGACTCCAGCTTTCATGGTCTGGTGCTTTACCAACTAAGCTACCAAGGCGTACTTGAAAAGCATACTGATTGGTTGCATGCCCAGAAGGTCCAGAATCACTGTACACGGGTGCGGATCCCATTGTGTTGTGATATATTTGTGACTAATATATTCCATCTTTCGCAATATTTCAGTGATGGCCAATTTGTTGGTCCTTCAAAGGACCTTATCAATGTTCTCCAATCCTGCCCAACAGGCCAACTTCTATGATGGTGATACCACCCAGCAATCATTCACGACTATTTCATTTCCAGACACTCAATTATAATTGGGCATAGGTAGTGCTGATAACAACACTTCTACTAATCTTGTGTGCCCATGCCACACTCACAGCACAATTTCTGTCACTACCAAAGTTCACAAAGCCACAACACTTCTCACCATAGTTGCTTCGGTCCCCAGGATAGGTCATCATTCTGATATTTGGTGAGCTGTTATATTATATATAAAATACTGCACAGTTCTACACTGATATTACAGTGGTGGAGAATGTCTGGTAGAACCTCATTTTGGTTGAATATTGAATATCAATATTGTGTTATTGCTGTAGAAATCATAGGATTTGTATCATACACAATGTTTACTTTCAGAATATAATACTATCAAACAGCCCTGCCTATCTTGTCCAAAATACACAGGAACGTGTGACTGACATATTTTGGTGGGTTTCCCTTGGTAAAACAATTTCTCAAATTTTCCCGAAGACTTGACTGCAAAGATGTAGAACCAATGTAATGATTAGTCAGGGCACCACAACGACTCTGTGTCACTCACCCATCCCACCATAGTAATAGCTCTTTCACATGCTTTTGGTGAGTAACATTGCCGGGCCCTTCAAACCAATCCAGAACATTGCTGTAAAAACCTAACAGATCAAAGTCCCCATCAAAACGGCGCCATGAACTAACACTCAACAATGCAAAATGGAGCTGTCCCATCATCTAGTCAATTGCTTCTGTTAAATTCTCTTCTTGACATACCTATACCGCAGTGTAAGCTATGGCTCTAGAAGTCACACTCTTCATCCCCAGGAGCGCTGCAACATGACACCTTGTGGATTTTTCTCCATGGTGAGGTCTATCCCAAGGTACACTAGCCAGCCTGTTATCCTCTTGAGCAGAAGACGGAGATGTGAATATGAGTTTGAAAGTCTGATAAATATTCAGTCAGAAATTTATACCACAACATTGATCATACCTTCAGGAGCAGTGATGATTGGAACAAGCCACAATCAGGATCCTCCTGATTGTATTCAGAGGGTGATTCATATAAAAATGTAGGCCATGAATCCGCAGTTACAAGGAAGTCACGATGACACTCCCGGACATTCTTCTGGACCCTACAGAAAGGTGACATCTTTATTCTACCAGTCAGAACTTTATCAACTCACACATTATCAGACCAGTCATAATCTATGGGGCACAACAAGGAACCAGTTGTTCGATTCTCAAAACCCCTGTTGTCCTTTGTAGAGGTATTTAGAGGTTGTTCCAGTGGGTGGTACATTCCAATCAGCCATGATACTAGTGCATACTTCAGGTTACTTGCATTATCTCCACGGGCATTATTAGCGCCTTTGCGGAGCTAAAATATGAACAAGTTATCAGTATCAGTGGTATCACCTGACTATATTTACTACTCACATCTTTGTAGAGCTCGTCAAGTTGTTGAATGTCACATTCAACCAGCTTACACTTCATGAATGGCAAGTATATCATCATCTGCTGGTATCCTTGAAAGATATGCTCTTGCCTGTAAGGCTAATCAGTACTTTGGTGAGTTTGAGTGCATTGAGGGACAAGGAACACTCACTATTTTGTGGGCACTGAATCCAGTAGATCTTCATCAGCACTGATGCGACATCAGTTGTTTTCTCCCACAAGCTCCTCCACATCATCAAACATGGCAATCAGCCTGCATATGGCTCGACCTTTGTTGACTAGAATATTTTGTTCTCTTTTTCATTTGAAGTCAGCAGATACTCAATCTACAAAGAAGCAAGTGACTTATGTGCAATGTTTTTTTCCACCTGATTGGAGCGTGTTCAATTCGTCCTCTAAAATAGAGATGCGGTGTTTAGCTCTGGCATGAGCTGCAATAGCACTGTCCTCATCGTCACTGCCAATAGAGGATATTATTGACTGCTGGGACATGAGAGGAGAGATGGTCATACCAGAGATATTGTCTGTTACAACAACGGCTTTATGGTCCAGGAAATTGGCTAATTTGATGCTACAACGAGAAAGTTTTTCAGTCCAACATGGTGACAGCAAGTGTTTGCGTACCTTGGCACTTTCAAAGGCCAGAGACCCGGAAGATAGATGGGCCCCCAAAGTGTTTCAGTGTTGCTCTAGGACAGACATCAAGATCATCAATATACTCGGGCCATGCAGAGAGTGTGTGATACAGAAAAATGGCAATGATATTTTAGAAAACCCATGTAATCATATTGAATTTAGCTCTGGACACTGGCAATAGACAGATTGCTTGTGGAGTATTTCTAATACTGGCACCATCAGCTATTTTACCGATCGACTAATAATTGCCATACTTTGCAAACTCAATCACTTGCCAATGTTTTATCAAGATCTGAACCATTTGCCTTGACCCACTGAGTCTGTGAACCCTGTAGGGTGGTTGCGGCGCATTTTTCTGCGCATTCAGTAGGATTAGGATCTATAATTTTGGATACAGTACAAGGAGGAGACAGCATATCAGGCAAACAAGAGAGTATGATTACAATCTCTGCTAAAACCAAATAAGGTTTGAGTTGGCGCTATGCGAAGACCTCTAGTAACTGGTAACCTGTGACTTGTGACAGGCTTAAGATCATTGGGATCAATTGGTCGGGCCATGTGTTCTATTTCTGAGTCTTGCTCCCAGTTACTGGCTTGGTTGTCCTGTTTTTTGCTCCCATTTGGTGCTTGTTTATTTGCTCCTACTCCAGGCTGCTTTCTGACCCAAACCATAGTTTTGGAGAAACACACTGAAGCACAGCAATTGACCATCCATTCACAACTTCTAGCTTGTAAGACTCCAATAGGCAATCACGAAGGTGCAGAGAAGTACTGGGTTACTCTAGGTGGATCTTTGCCAGGGGTGCAATCAAAATGGTAAGCACATTTCTGCTCTAGTTCATGTTGCTTTTGAGTATCACCTAACCATAGGGAGTGCATAAAAGCAAAGTGGACCAGCTAGAGATTGAACCCAGGATCTCTGTCTATATATAGCAGTGTTCTACCAACAAAACTACCAGACCTTATCCACTTCAGGCAACCACTTTGGGGGGGCTCTTAGCTTGATCATCTTCACCAAAAAGATGGGGCTAAGAGCCCTCAATACCTTGGTCCTTTAGAGGTGTTTAGGGTATTAGTCCATTGTCTATGTCCATATAGTGGGGACTAAAGCTGATTTGGGATAATACCTTGGTCCTTAAAACTAATTGGTGGATTGATCCATGGTTCAGGTTCATAATGTAGGTCTGAAATTAGATAAGTTTAGTATCTTGGTACTTAAAGGTAAATAGGGGATTGATCCTCAACCATATGTAATTATGAGATAATACCCCCCATTTATTGGAAAATGAAGAGGAAACAGCCACAGCATTGGTCCTTGGATCAAATGAAAATACAAGCAACTATAGCTGTGATGGAAAAATCTCTTGAGACTTGGGATTTGGCCATAAATCAATTCCTATATAAGTGGCTAAAGCTGAAATAGAATGGTTTTAATTTTATCCTTGAAAATGCTTATAAAAGTGGTTTACTAATAAGGTAGAGGATTTCTACACATAAAAAAGCTTTTAGACTACAGTAGTGGGTTAGTCTATCATACTAAATATGTCTTTCAATAAATAGCCTTCTGAAAAAAGTCAACTTCATCATAAGGTATGAAGTAGAACCAAACTTGCTGAACTAGAATAATAAATTTCCCATGGTTTAAAGTTTGATTCACCAAGATAATAGCTGGCTCATATAGTATAATATTCTTCTTAATCTATATGTAAGTTGAAGTTAGGCTATGGTTACACTATGAATCTGGGGGTTGATATTATAATTTAAGTGTTCAGGGAATCATTTCTATCAAGTCATGACCTAAAAATTTATTTAATATAACCCCTGTTATTTTGTAGGTTTCTGTTAATATTATGTGGAATATTCAACGCAGAATGATTTGAGGATTATTGCAGACATGGCATTGCAGATAGTGGGGGCCTCAAACATCAATATCTCATGATCAGGAATTAATATGTATAAAGTTTGTGCATGGATAATGATTGTGGCTGGTGTCCTTTAACTACAATGTGGTGTAGGTCATATTGTATATGTTGGGATGGCATCTTGGCTAACTAGGCCTTATTGTATATAGCAAGATAATGCCCTGGGGGATAAGACTGTTAAGTAGGATCTGGGGAGAGGAAAATAGAAGATGTCCTGGGGTACAAGGGCATCAAGAAAGTTGTGGGATAAGGCCCATTGATCATGGTCAGGTGATACCCTATGAAACAAGTGTATGGGACAAGGGTTATTGTGTGTGGTGGGATAATGCTCTAAGGGACAGGTTATCAAACAAGATGTAAGACAGAGCCAATCAAATATAGACAGATAGTACCCTGAGGAGCAAAGCCCCTTACCCATATTTTGGATAAGACCAATTGCTCATAGAGGCCTTCACATAAAATATGAGATAGGACATGTCCTGGATGGTGGGATGATACCCTGGGGAACAAGGCCTTGAGATATATTGTGGGACAAGGCCTCCAGATTGAATATGGGGATGGGGCCCATGTGGGATGGTGGTGTGGAGAATAAGGCCCACTACCAGCATATGAGATGATGCCCTGAGGGACAAGTAATAAAACTAAGTGAAATTCAGCCGCTGCCCAAGAGGCTATAGAAACAACTGAGGTATTTCTATACTAAACCCCCTACTACTTATAGTCAGAGGTGCTACTTGCTACAGTATAATGACTCCTAGGAGTACAATGGCTGCTTTGGCAGAGACCAGGTTTATCCAATTTTGTCACTCCCACTTGAGTGCAACCGTAGTCCCATAGCTTTAGAGAATTTCCAGTGTTTTTCATGAGTGAGGGGTTTAGTGAGAATGTTGGCAACCATATCTCCTGTAGGAACATATCTGATTACTGCCTCTCCTTTTGATACTAACTCATCTCGGATAAAATGATATTTCCGTTGAATGTGTGTTGTGCAAGCACAGAACTGTGGATCTTGTGTAAGAATGATAGCTGCTTGATTGTCACAGTGCAATGTTGTAGGTCCATTTTAAGCATGTCCAATTTCTTCAAAAAATGTCCGAAGCCATGCAAGGTGTTGTCCAGCATTGCTCAATCCAATATACTCTGACTCCGTGGAGGATAAAGCTACCATGCTTTGTCTTTTGCTTGTCCAGGAGATTGCTCCTTGGATGGTGATAAAAACAAAGCCTGATGTTGATCAAGGCGTGTCTGGGTCTCCAGACCAATCTGCATCTGAATATCCATAGAAATCCATGTCCATGAAGACATCTGTGCCATCATAACATAGTTCCATGTCCCTGGTTGCTTTCACATATTGGAGGACACATTTTGCAGCTTCCCAGTGATGGCTCTTTGGAGCTGAGCTATGTCTGCTTGGTATTCCGACAATGTAGGCAATGTTTGGGCGGGTTCCGAGCATGGCATACATGAGGGAGCCTACAATTGAGAGGTATGATGTTGGCATATTATATACATTACAATAGATTCTTCATTCTTGCAGTCACTTTCATTCAACTATTCCGACATTCTGATAGATTACATAAGTTTCCTAATTAGGATACATAAAAGCGCACTCATCCTACCTTAGACACCTCAGTCATTTACCAGAAAGACTGAGAGTCTTTTACTTTACAGTTCTAGTCATCACATCATATGACACTTGACACCCTTCAATATGCATCTTGTGTTGCACAATATCTTCCCCTGGAGCATTTGCGAGGAGTTTTGATCCATGGGCCATTGGTGTCCATACTGGTTTGCAGTTTTTCATTCCAGTACGCTCCAGGACTGTGTCAATGTATTGGTGTTGCAATAGGGAGATTGTTTTGTTTGAACAATCACGTCGGATTTCTATTCCAAGGATGTATTTTGCTTTTCCAAGGTCCTGCATTTTGAATATGGATTCAAGTTTGGCTTTTGTGATATCCATGAATTTTTGGGATGAAGCTCCTAGGAGGAGGTCATCTACATAGACAACAACAAAGCACATTTGTTTGTTGTCCTGGAATACATAGAGACATGTTTCTGCATTTAGTCTTGTGAAACCGAACTCCTGGAGCTTGCAATCAAAGGTTTTGTTCCATGTACGACCAGCTTGTTTTAATCCGTAGATGGATTTCTTCAACCTCCAGCAGTATCCAGGTTGGATAGGAACACCCCCTGGAGGAAGCATGTACAGTTTTTCTTCAAGTTCTCCATTGAGATAAGCTGTGGATATGTCCATTTGATCAAGTTCTAGGTCGTACTTTGCTGCCAGGGCTAGAATAATACGGATTGACTCTAAGTTTGCAACCGGAGCAAAAACCTCCTGGTAATCACTCCCTTCAGAAGTGGAACAGTGTCATATACTGCATTAGTATTGAGACTTAGGAGTTCCTCGTCCAAGGCAGACTTCCATAATTCTCCACCCGGACATGATAAGGCTTCCTTTAGTGTTCTTGGAAGGTCTGTGTTTGATAGACCGGTACTTGCTATTCCAGCAAAGAATGTCTCCTCTGTATCGGATGTTTCTTCATGAACTTCAGGAGTGTTAGGTTTCTCCATGGAGTTGTCATGCAGTTCTTTTTGAGACTGTTCCTCATCTGAAGTCCTTTGATAATCTCGGTTTTTGTCTGCAGGACGGGTCTGGTGACTGCTTCTGCGTACTCCTAGGACTTCAGCAGGCATGATTGCTCTTTTAGGAACTTGTGCAGGTACTCCAGGGAGTAGACACATTTGTGTGTGTGTTGCCCCACTCACTCCTGAAGGTGTTGATTCACTCCTCAGAGGTGTTGGATGACTCCTTGGAGGTGTTGTATGCCTTCCAGAAGCTGATCCAATGGACAGGCTGTCTAGCTGTATTCAGACTTTTTCCACATCAGCTGGCTGTATGTTGAGGGGATGTCCTCCCATTGACTGTAACTCTACTTTGGCTTTCCGTTCTGAAGATGGCCAGTGTTCAGGTCTTGGTTGTAGAGAGGGTGTTTTAGCTGATCAGGTGCTCCCACTGCTCTTGGAATGTCTCCACGGAGGTATTGCCCCACTGCTCTTGGAACATCTTCATGCTGATATGGTTCCATTGCTTGTGGAACATCTCCTTGGAGATGTGGTTCCATTTGCAATTCATTTGGATCTCGGATCCGAGGGTCAGGATCATCCTCCTCCAATGTTTTTTGGTCTGGATAGTGAGCATTCTCTGGAATGAGTCCCTCCCACTGATCTGTGCTAGTGTCTGTGTTCCAGGAAGCAGTGTTATCCTTTTGTACCTTTCCGGATTCATTGAATATGACATGCCGACTGGAAAACACAGTCTGTTTTTCAGTGTCTAGGAGTTTGTAGGCTTGCTTTCCATGTGTGTAGCCAATCATTATGGCTTTGCACCCCTTGGAGTAAAACTTCCCTTGCCTTTTGTCTTTTGGAATCAAGGCATATTCTTGGCATCCGAAAGGGCAAAACAAAGTTGGATCAACTCTCCTTTTAAACAGTACTTCATATGGGGTCTTCCCATGGAGTCCTGATGCTGGGCTGCGTGCTGTGATATATGCAGCTGTTTGCATGGCATCTACCCAAAATGACTTTGGGAGCTTGGAATCATAGAGCATAGTGGTTGCTAATGTAGCTCATGTCTGATTCATGCATTCTGCAATGCCATTTTGTTCTGGAGTATCTGTAGCTGTAGTTTCTTGGATGACACTATCTTCTCGGAGTTGATATTTGAATGCATTGCCAGTATATTCTCCTCCCCCATTGCTCCAGAGGAATTCTGTGTACAGTGGTGTGAAGTGTCCTTCTCCCAAATGAGTTCATCTTTCCTAAAGCACAAGGTTCACAAAACTCTGGGGTTCCGGTAAGGGTGTCTATGTCCTGGAGCTGTCCTTTTGTAACCATTTGTTGCAAGTAGTCTATTCTCCAATGTGTGCAATAAATTTACATCTACTGCTGCAAAATCTGACTCCGGGTTGATTTCGGGTTTTGCTTGGATGTGATAAAGTCCTTGCTTGTGTAAGGCAGTGAGGATAAGTTCCTCCTTTTTCCGAACTTCACAAGTGTTTGACCCTGCTGGAAAAAGTGTTGATAACCCCGTTTTAGACAATTTGTGGACAGAGACGAGTACTAAAGTGAAGTTTGGCACAAGTAAGACATTTGACAGTGCAATATTGTAGTCCTTTTTGCCAACAGTTGCTTGTAGGATTACTGTTCCAATGCCAATGGCATTTACAGAGGATTCATCCCCAAAACTGATTGTCCGCGGAGGATGCAGAACATGGTATGTTCTTGGCTCAAACCAGGAGCGGTGAGGGACCATGTGGGATGTTGCTTCGGAGTCAATGATGATTGTTGTTTTGGTTTTATTGGGTTCCGACACAAGGTAAGCTTGAATGTGTTTAGCAAGGGGCTTGGAAATATGTACATGATCCAATGCAATATGACTCTGTTCCTCCTTGGAGTCAGATCCAGATGATTGCTCCGCCGTATTTGCCTTTTCCTTCTCTTTTCCTCTATCCTTGTGTCTTTCCTTTCCCTTCTTCTTTTGACCTTTTCCAGCTGACTGAAGTGTTCGACACTCTGAAATGTTGTGTGATTTGACTTAGTGGAAGTCACACCACTTCTCCTCGGATTTGAGTGCTGATTCAGAACCTCCAGGGGCCTTCCCTGACTGTCGTGCAACTTCTGCAGTGATCCGGACCTCAACTGCATCAAAGATAAGTTTATTTTCTTCAATCGTGTTGATTACCAATGACTGAAATATTTGCCATTCAGGAGTGCATGGGAGAGATTGGAGAAGAGCAAAGGCCATGAGTTTGGTATCAACTCCTAGTTTCATTCCGGAGAGGTGTGAATCAATTGTGCGGATTTTTGCAATGTGGTCCTAGATAGGTGATGTCCTATCCCAGGACAATTTGGTGAGTTGCTAGAATGAATAGAAGGCTGAGGCAATGTTGGACGTCTGATGGAGTGAGACAAGTTTATCAAATAACTCCTTGGAGCTGGTGAGGTCTCCAGTCCTCATTAGGAGGGCATCAAAGATGTGGTCCTGGATGGTTCCATGTGCCTTCTCATCCTTAAGTATCCAGGTGATTTTAGGATCCTCTGAGGAGGTGGGCTTTCCTGGTGAGAGCTTAAGCTCCTCTCCAGTAACAACCCGGAGAACTTTTTCCCGACGTAGCTTTGAGATGATCCGGAGTTTCCATATCTGAAAATTGTTGGTTCCAGTGAGAACTGGACATGTGGATGTATCATGTGCTGTGGTCATGGTTCTGAGGTTGTCATTTCAAATAAGAATTATTTCCTGCATAGCTTTTGCACACCAGGGCTCATAACCTAATAAATCTAAGTCAAACTCAGCCGCTGCCCGAGAGGCTATAGAAACAACATTATTATTTACCTAAGTGAAACTACAATAGATGTTAGTTTAAGGTGATCTCTAATAAATGTAATGTAACATATCTCAGCCGCTGCCCGAGAGGCTATAGAAACGGCTGAGGTATTCCTATACTAAAACCCCCTACTACTTATAGTCGGAGGTGCTACTCGCTACAGTATAATGATTCATAGGAGAACAATGGTTACTCCATGGAGTGGTGGCTATGCTCCATGGAGAACAATGGCTGCTTTGGCAGAGACCGGGTTTATCCGGTTTTGTCATGGTATAGTGTTGTAGTATTTCTGGGCAGGCAACGCATGACCAGCCGTCCAGACTCTCATTGTTTTTTACTGAAAACTGTATACCACACTTGATCATAATATGTGTACAGCTGGCTAATTTTGACATAAATTACTTTTTGGCACCATATATGGCATAACATATATGGTGCTGGATCATTACATATTCATGACTGGATCAGACTCACTGTACAGGAGCGTGCAAAGGAAGGTAGCACCACTGATCTCTGATTTGATGATGCCATCAAGATAACTTGTGAAGCCTTCCAGAACAGTAAGATAATGTTTATTTTACCACAAAGTTGGGCCCAATACGAGCTCTTCCTTCACCATATCCACCCACTCACTAATTCAGAAGATTGCGTGTAGCAAAAGAGGACTGCTTGCTTGTGCAAATGTAAATATGTCGCAGTATCTGGAAATTTGAGGTCAGAAATCAGCCTATTGCAAAGATGCACAAAGTCTATATGAAAGGACACTCATAGGCAAGGAACAAGCACTTGCAGTCAGGGACAAGCACCGGAAGACTTTGGTTACGGTACACAAACTAGCTTGGCTACATGAACTGTAAGGGCGGTATGGTAATGCTGAAATATTACATAGGCAAGCACTCAAAGGGCTAGACAAGGAACTAGGAGATGGACACCCTACAATGCTATCAATGGTTCACAGTTTGACTTGGTGTTGTGAGGTTTGTGCCTCCAAACACTGAAAGGCAAGGGAAAATACCATGCTGTTGAATGTATACAAACACTATTGACTGTGAACAACTTGGCAGAGGTTTATCAATCCCAGAAACAGTACAACAAGGCAGAATATCTGTATCAGCGAGCCCTTTCTAGAGAAGAGAAGCAACTTGGGCCTCAATTTTCAAGCACACTTACAATAATCTATGACCTTGCTACAATCTATTGGAGCTACTGTTTAAGTGGACACTGAGTGGAAGAGAAGAACAGCTAAAGCCTGAACATCCAAACAACCCGCTCACAGTATATGGCCTAGCACTGACACACAAAGTATGAGGTCTGAAAATTGAAGCTGAGGCATTGTATAAAAGGGCGCTTGCTGGAGCAAGGACACAGCTGGGACTCGGGCATCCACATACCGTTGCAATATTGGAATCACTCACTGACTTCATGCGAGCTGGCAAATGCGTAGCAGTTTGAGTGGGCTACGCAGCCTTTGACATAGGTCATGTCTATCCAGAGCATTTCAAAAATAAAGCAGTATGTAGGGTCATACAAATGCACGCTCAGCTTGCTGATCTATGTCAACATCATGATGTAGGTGTCACAATATTATTTTTCGGAAGTGTACTTATAGGAGACCATAATATTATAGAATAGAGATTCAGCCAAAGTTTCAAGATAATCAAATGGGTTGAAGAACACACAATGTAAGCACAGTCGGTGCCATATCCACTCCAGCTTCCAAACCATCTAAGCACACATAGGATGAGACTTAGTATTGACTCTTATTATTGTCAGAAAAATCCATTTTACATGATTTGGCCTAAATTGGCCTGATATGACTGTCAGAAAAAAAGAGATCAAATTAGATACAAAAGATTGCAAATAGGTCAGATTTGATTTAATTCAGGATATTCTGTGTGATACCTTTGATCCATCTGAGCATCAATGACATTGTGATTCGACCAACTTTACTGAAGGGTACAATTTATTTGGTCAGACTAACCACAGTGATAGTACTTACCAGCATGGCCTGCACATCCAGGCTGAGGACACCAATCAAGCTATCTTGGTACCAGCAATGGTGGTCATGTCTGAATGGACCAAACATGTCTGACCTGGCCTGATCATAAGTCTCATTGTACCAAGTATGCCTAATAATAGCTTTTTGAGCCTTGTGACACAAATGCACAAAATGAAAAGGAGAGCTAATAGTTGATTGAAAATGTAATATCTGAACAGTGAAGTACATAGAGTAGTCTACTGTGTTGAACAACATTTGTACTTCCATGTATAAGACACAGCCTCAATCTCCTGCAAATAATTCAGTATATATTCTGTACATTAGAATAGTCTGAGTGCACCCACCTTGTTAACGATGTTGGAGCTTGCCAAATCTAAGTGAAGATATTAGATATTAGCAAGCATACATAGAAGGATTACTGGTGCAGAACATACCTTTGTATCAGATTTGATGACTGCACAAAGTTGTTGACCTGGGCCATATTAGCCTTGATCAAATCTGAAATACCTTTCTAAGCCTGAAAAGGATAACTAAACACAAGAATAAGTATTGTGAAATGTGCCAAAACACACCTGTGTACTGATAGCAATACAATTGAAGGCTTGCTTGGAAGTGATGGTGTTGGACAAGATGGATTTACTTAGGAACTTTGCCCACAGTATATATACACTCTCTGAGGTCTGGTGGAGCCTCAGATGTCATGATTAGTAATTATAATATAAAATAGTGGATGAATCTGAATCCATGTTACTCACATGAACTAAACAAAAACTAATCTTTGACAATACCATGCCATTGAACAGCAAAAAACAATGTCGTGATTCTATGCTCATTTTTGAAGAGACTTTGTCATCTGAACATAGTTTAAAACCTTCTTCATACAATAGCGCTGCCTCCACAGTCCTCGCACATGCAGCAAAGGGTCCTAGTGACCTTGAGAAACATTGGTTAAAGCTACATGGAGATGTAGGAGCAGCAAAGCAAACAGCAAATGCTGCAGAGCCAGTAGCTGCAGGGACTCACCTGTCCCAAACATCACATTGTACCCCCTTGCCAGCTATGCCAACCACACCAACTAAAGATACTCCAGTACTGAGATATAGATCAACTAGCACCCATACATCTGATGGTGTGCTCTCATATCTCAGTGGTGGAGGATTCGGCCAGGGCTGTCCTGTCGACAGAAAGGGACACTATAAGTACAACAAACAATATAAATACAATCAACCTTTCACATTTGCAAGTCACACCACAATTAATGAAGATGGCAGTGATAAGGACTCAGAGGATGTTCATCATGATGCTGGAAACAATGAGGTGAGGGATTGGAATATAGTGAAAACATTCAAAGCTTACTTTTTCTTGCCAAGCATCAGTAAAGTGTCACTTTTCTTTGAAGATCTTGACTCACCTTGAAACTGTTTTAAGAGGAATTAAAGGCATTAAGACTGGTTTTGTGCCAGGGGATCTTATGTCTTTTCAAGATAAAAAAAGTTTGATTAAGGACAGTCGGCTTCTTAAACTTCACTTAGTACAACTTTGAACAAACTTATTAATTCTTAAAAATTCCATAAGATATTGAAAAGTAGCCTCTAAAACAAAAACAAGTTATTTTCAAGTAGCTTTGAATAATGAGAATAAGAACAAGAGGGGGAAAAAACTGTACTATAAGCCATAAAAGAAGGATCATAGTTCCATACGCAATTACTACCAAAATGTTTGCACTGAGCGGTGAGTTAAGGAAAATCCAAACATATTATATTTGCCATTAGCCCCAGTCAGAAGCGACAATATTTAGGCCGATAGAAAATGATTGTCACTAAATATATCATTCTGTATCTATTCAATTACCAGAATGACCATTTCAATCCTTAGAATATTATTGTCAGCTATTGTAGAAAACTGAATATATTGTTTTGAATCATTGTCTTGCTTTGATTTCAGGACCATTCAGACTCAAAACAATTGAAAGCTATTAATTTATTGGGAAGCATCAAAAACAAATGAAAACGAAACACAATAAATTACAGCAATTTACTTGAAAACGAAATAAAATGATATCTTTTGAACCAAAATGATTATGCCTTTGCATTGAGTTTCTAGAATCAAAATAGTATAATATTAGTACTAGCAGACCAATAAAATATTGTGGTACTCACCATAATGGCAGCATCTGAAGCATATTTTCAAAATAAGGGTTAGCAAATATACAGAGAATATGAGAAACAACCTTACCTGTTGCAAATCCTCCAGGAGGTCCTTGTAGAAGATGTTGAAGTCCACCTTGTGTCTAGTGGGATGACCTTGAACCCCATTTCTAGTCCACAAGTTCCTGCAGACCTGCAGAAGAGTCAGTTAAATTTATACATAGGGCCTTGCTGTAAAATGTTCATGGTGGTACTGGGATGGAGGTGGTATGAGGACAAGGAGATGTAGTGTGTTGTGCTGGGGCGGCAACATTTTGGGGAACTGGTCACATGACCAGGATTCCATCCAGACTGTCGTCGAGACACCGAGACAAGTTGAAGTCAAGTTGAGTTCACGATCAGATCAGAGTCAAAGTCCAGAATCTCAATTGTTTTCAATTGTGAGAAATTTTTTATTATATCAGTGTATTTGTTTGGCAATCATACATTCACTGAGATTCAGTCTAATTCTAATTCTGTTGTGTTGTTTTTGACTGGGTATCAGCGATAGAGAAACCTGTAATAAGTGTGAATGTGAGGTCAGACATACAAAGAAAACTTACACAGTACATCCTAAATGTCATCAAGACAGGCTCAAGGGTCAACATCCCCATCCCCACTTGTGACCAACTGTTTGGACCATCCCTTTCCAGTGATGTAAGTGCTTGCTTTTGTCACTATATTGTTCAATGTCTCCAGTTTGATCAGTCATATCATTATAAAGAAAAAACCTAACATCCCACGTGGCTTTTGTGGCTCAGCTGGCATTGCGTTGGGAGAAGCAGGTGTGCTTCCAACTGGCTGTTTCCTTAAGGCTACAATAGCAGCTCTAACACCCTCATTGTCTGTCTTCTTCTTACAGACTGTGAGGAATTGATTTTTCTCATTGCATTCCCATCATGTTGTGGCTATCCGACTCATTCCCTGTCACTCCTCTCGCTTTTGGACTAGAGATCACAGCCGGTATTTTATTACTCTTACCTCTTTTCTTCTTATTCTCCATTCATACTCATGTCCTATTGTACTTACGATAAAGGAGAACCATTGTAAACCCTCAAGAAGATATCCAGATGACATAGCAATGATCCAATGATATGTCCGGGAATACTTCGGAGGGATATTAATCAGCAATGTAGGCTGTGACTTAGCGCCTTGTCATGGGCTTCCTGATACAGCCAATTGTACATCTCTTACCAAGACTCTCTCACACAATTAGTAAATACGATAAATTGGACCACTTTCCTTTTCTTTTCTTATTGGTTAGTTATTTGGTCAGACCACTTTCTTACTCTTTCTCTTTTTTGGTCTGACCCTCGCTGTTCACTATATAAGGAGTGCATACTTGATATATTATTCGCTACAATATACTCTGACATACCAATACCCCATAGGATAATACCTCTGATTTGTAAGCCAATACTGTGTAAGACGTCCGTGGTTGCATGTCATGTTTAAGATCCTATATTGTATAACCTTGGCCATATAGCTCAATTGGTAGAGCAGCTGGCATGTATCCAGAAGGTTCTAGGTTCAATCCCTGGTCTGGTCAATATCCAATTTTATCAGCAAGGCCAAGTTTTAGTGCTTGTAGTAGCTCCTGTTTGGTGAGTTTAAACTGCTGCTTTTCCTGAGCTACCTCTTCTCGAGAACATTTTTTCTATTGCAGATCAAGTAGAATCTTTCCAGGATGCTGCTGGGCGTTCTTGACACAAGTTACTGCGTGAGGCATGATAGAAACAAACAGGATGCAAGATGTGGACTGATGGACTGATAGAACTGAAGGATGCAAGGCTTGCATTGTAGAGAAAATTTTGATGGAGTTTAAGCCTAGTAGGTAAAGCTTATGTGAAATTGTTTATGTTGTCAAAAAATCCATGGTGCTCATTTTCCCTTACTTGGCTTTTTCTTCTAGACAAAAATTGACTTAGAATGCCTCCACAGCATGGTAGCAAGCCCGTCTGCCCACAGCATAACCGCCTCACCATACCCTGCAATAACACTCAGTGTAATCACTGGTTTTGCAGCATATCTGGTTTAAAAAGGCACATTCATACCTACCATTTAAACACCAGCACTCCACTCTATCCACCTTCTCCAGCACTTCCATTTGATCCTGGAAATAAGCCAGAACTCTTTGGACAACAGAACAACTCAGAGCCACAAGGTGAAATTGAATATCATCTGTTTCTAGATGGTAGGGCTACATTTTGTACCACATCATTGTTTCTAACCATTTACAGGACAACCTTGCAATGAAAGTGGGAACTGTCTTCCTCCTGGAGTAAAGCTCGTACTACCAGAAAACCCACCATCAGATGATTGGTCCCCATATTACAATCACATATAGTTTGAGACTGCCAAACTCCTCTACAAGAAGATACAGATGTCTGCTGGAGACATTAATGCCATTCTAGATCTGTGGAGGGCTTCATTCATCAAAAATGGACTTGTCAACCAAAATGTCCCTTTTGCCAGCAAGGATGATCTATACCAAATAATTGACTCCACCTCAACTGGAGATGTGCCATGGGAATCATTTTCATTGTCCTATGATGGCAAAATTCCTGAAAATAATCCACCTCAGTGGATAAGCCAAGAATTTAATGCTTGGTTTAGAGATCCCCGCACTATTATACAAAATATGCTTTTGAATCAAGATTTTTGTGGCAAAACTGACTTCACACCCTATTGTAAGTTCAATGCTGAGGGAGAGAGGGAGTACAAAGATTTCATGTCAGGTGAATGGGCCTGGAAGCAAGCAGATAAGATTTCTGTTGATCCAACAACACATGGTTTGTTATCTGTGCCAGTCATCCTAGGAAGTGACAAGATAACAGTTTTGGTTGCAACTGGACAAAACAAATATTATCCACTGTACATATCAGTGGGGAATGGTCATAACAATGTTCATTGAGCACATAAAAACGCTATAGTGTTGTTGGGCTTCTTGGCCATCCCAAAAAGTATGTAACATTGAATTTTGACCTTTCTTTTGCATATACTAAATCCAATTTTTATTTAGCTGATAAGGGGTACACAAACAATCCAAGGTTTCACAAGTTTTGCTGACAACTATTCCACACATCACTGTCACATATTCTTCAAAGCCTCAAACCTGGAATGTCAACTCCAGAGGTTGTTTGATGCTCCAACATGCATTTTAGACAATTTATGGCATTGGCCCATACATAGCTGACTACCCCAAGCAAGTTCTTCTTGCATGCATAATTTAAGAGTAGTATGCCCGGTGGGTGCTTTTCTTTCATAATGCTATCTGGACTAATATCTTCTGCTT